TCATAGAGCTCTGAAATGCCCTGTATAAACCTTTTTACGAGAGCTCTACTAAATATGCATAGTGGTGTAGGGTATCATATAGTCGGCCCCGCCCGACTTTTGAGCTTTCCTTACTGGTTTACTTTTCGAACCATTTCTGCTGATGGTTGCTGTTTTCTTCCGTCCACTTCCTTGACGTCAGGCTACGCTACCACTATCACGTTAACGAGCGATGGTACGAGACACCAAAGATTTATTCACATTTGAATGCTGGAGTGCTCTAACGATAGCCACTTGTGGTTTTCCAGGCAAATATAAAGAAATCACACAATCACGCTTAAATTCCATCACGAATAACTTTTTTTCTGGAAAATTTTCACCAAAATGCTTTGGTACGCTTGTAAACAATATAATCAGTCTGAAGTTGGTTGCAGTTTTTTCATTTCATCCTGTTTAAATAAATCGTGGAGTTCAAAATTGCGGAAATTTTGTTTAATTTTATAATAAAATAATACAATTACCGTTTATTGGAAAATACCGAAATCCCAAAATAACACAAATTGACAATCCCTGGATCAGTAAATTTAAAAAAATAAATCCCTTTAATTTCCATTTTTTCGATTTATGTATGATAGAACTAAAAAGTATCGTTTTATAAAAAAATATGATTGCATATAAAGTTTATTGTGAATATCATTTTTTTCTATTTTTTGAAAGAAAAAGTTTGCGAATTTCAAAAGTAAAGTTCCTTACGTTTGGGGTAGAATGCTGCAGTTGTGTAACGGGAGGAAGGAATCTATCCTCCCGTTACACAACTGCAACATTCTACCCCAAACGTCACCTCATTGTGTTTAATTTAATTCAACGCAAATATTTACGAATAAAAACAAATCCAAATATTGTTTAATAGAATTTCCATTTTTGTTATGTGGGAGGTGTGTGTGCATCCGCTGCAATTTGTTTGGCTCTTTTTCTTCTGTTGTTGCTGTTGTACTTTTAGAATAACAACATAAAAGGTTATTGACATTTCGTCTATTATTATTATTATTGTTATTAACATTTTTGTTGTGCACTGTCGGCAAAAACGCTGTATGCTCGCGCATGTGTTTCCATAGACTAGCTTATTATTAGACATAATGGGCATTTGACGTTTAGCGCCATGCGATGCGCATACAAAACTATAATGGCTTAATGGCAACGCTAAATTTGGAATTTGGTGTGCTGTCTGAAGACAGAGGCGATTATTATAATTAACGATGCTTAATTGGTTAACGTTTTTTGTTCTATGGCTATTATAATTCTTTTTTATAAAGAGTACGACTGCAACGAAAAGAGCACATTGGCTGGAAGTTTAAAAGATTCGAAATTTAAATGCGAGACAAAAATAACGTATCGAGAACATTAAATTGAAATGCAGTTTTTTACAGAAAAAGAAAAAAAAAAACATGAACATTTTTTTCACAAGAAAAATGGGAAGATTTTGCAGAATACACAGTTTAATTTTTATCCAAAAATAACCCACTGTGTTGTGTATTATGATTCATTTCGTTGTATTTCATCACAATTTTATTTCTTTTGACTTTTATTGTCGTCATTTGTGTCATTTTGTGTTTGTTTTTGCATTTGCTTTGTGTGAAATACTTTCTAATATTGATTTTAAATTCCGGTTTATTTAGTCAGTCTTTGTATGATTCATGCCAGAGCGGATTAAGAAGCTAACCACCGCCAGCCTGCCAAATAGCCGGGTTCAACGGAAATATTTTAATTAATTCGTGTGATTTTTTTTAATTGCACAGAGAGGGGTTCTCAATTATAAATGGTGTGAAATAAACAAGTAAAAAAGCTGTAAGTTCGGCCGGGACGAATTTTGAATACCCTCCACCATTTGGAACGAAATTGGCAATTTCCAAAGCAATAAAATCCGTTAAAAATTCTGTTCAAATCTTAAAAATTCTGTTCAAATCTTAAAAATTCCGAATGTGGCTGTTATATTAGGGTCTATACGACGACATGGACCTGCATAGGTAAATTTTGTCATAAGCCATTACAATATTCAAATGCGAAACTTAAAAAAAACGGTGAATAATGTCGCTAAGATCATCAAAATACCAAATATCGGGACGTCCGTTATATGGGGGCTTTACGAAGACGTGAGCCTGCACAGGCAATTTTCTGTCATAGGCTGTAGCATCTATTACGAATATCAAATACCAAATTTGAAACAATTCCGGCGAATAATGTCGCTAAAATCAGCAAAGTACCGAATATCGGGAGGTACCGTTATATGGGGGCTTTACGAAGACTTGGGCCTGCACAGGCAATTTTCTGTCATAGGCTGTAGCATCCATTACGAATATCAAATACCGAACTTGAAACAATTCCGGTGAATAATGTCGCTTAAATTATCAAATACCGAATATTGGGAGGTACCGTAATATGGGGGCTATACCAAACCGCAGACCTACATGGCCCATTTTCAATACCAAAAGTCCTGCAGCCATAATATACATTTGAGTAAAATTTTATCAATCTGCTTCATTTTGTTCTGAAGCTAGAGTGATTTCCACACACGGATAGACGGACGGACATCGACAAATCGACATAGAATTCTATGTTGACTTTGTGGGGTCTAAACTTAATATACCCTCCATACAATGGTGGAGGATATAAAAAGTAGCTCTACATTTGACGATTTATGGTTAAATAATGAACCAAACTGAAGATTTTTGATAGGGAAACAGTACGGGAAACATGCTTGAGTTGTTTAAACCAGATAAAATCACCCTTTACTAAATATCGAATATGAGAGTTTGTTGCAAAATGTTAATCATTTTCCTCAATGGCTGAAGGTTTTAAAATACTCAAATTAAGAGGTACCAGTTTTTGACTACTTAATCTAAAGAGTAGGTCTTCCTGTATGGGGAGGTTTTTGCCGTAGAAGTTTATATTCTTCTGATTTGTACATTTACTATGGATTTGTTAAGGCTAGATTACACATGATGTCAAAGTCATGTGTAATGTTACATTTTCTACAATTAGCAGTTGAATTTTTGTTGCATAATTTTGGACGCTTCGCAAATTTTTTAATCTAAAAAGAAACGCTTGATAGTAATTAATTAAGTTGTAAAAATGTAAAATAAAAAATATGAAAAAAGCATTTTACTGTGTGCCATAAATTTCACTCTGAATAGTATTTTTACAGGTGGATGGTTCTTCATCCACGCTCCGTTAAATACTTATGTCGCATCCATGGTTGGTCCCATGGGAGATTTGATTCAGAAGAAATGTTTTGCGCTTGGAAGTCGTGGATATCGCTTCAGGCTAAAAAAAGCATATGGTGAAAATTAAAACAACCCGATTCCGCGTCCTTTTAAAATATTGCTCCATTTTCGAAATGGACTAGTTTGTTGCTATTCAATCAAATTCTTTTGAAACTAGGTCCAACTTTTTGTGAAATCTTTTTAAAGAGTTTACATTTGTTGGTGTTTTTCTTTCTTTTTTTCCTTTTCACACACACACATAAAATATGCCCTTGGCAACTCACATTGCGACTGCAAGTAAAGCTATTGCCAAAAAGAACAAATAATTGCAGCAGCGAACAATCGATATTTTTTGTTAGCTGTGGTTCGTTCTACCAACAAGCAAATTCCAATAATATCATTGTTGTTGTCGTTTTTGCTGGAAATTGTTCCAGTCAGTTACTGCCAGTAATGCAGCAGCTGCTGCTGCTGCTGACTTGCCTGCCTGCCGCCTGTTTCTTCTATGTGACAATGTATAATGCACGACTGTGGTAGAATCAACGAAGCAAAACCATAGAGAGACAAAAAGCCATCGTCATCATTCTCCTCATCATCATCAATCATGATGACTGTCATCATTATTTTTATCCCCACTACGCTTTGCCCCCCTGTTTTATTTTTTCAGCGTGGAAGTTGTGTTGTTACGTTATGTGTTTCGTTGTATGTTTGTGTGTGTGTGTGTGTGTGTAAAATTCAAGGACCACCCTTTGCCATCCATTGCATTTCCCACTACAGCCGTCTTCTAGGATCCACACATCCTGCACATAAATTTATCAAGTTTTTGCTCAACACACACTGTGTGTATGTGTGGTGTCTCTCTGTGAAGAGACGAATAATGAATGCATTCACAAAATATTGGAGCTTAATTTGCTGTCATTGTTTCGTATAACTGACATTTGTATTTTCACGTACTGCATATATTTTTTTTTGTTCATTTGTTTCTCTCTTGTCTTGTTACAACATTTGACATTACTGCATCATTTCAGTGTTGCCATCGGTCTCTACCCTCATCATAATTGCCATCATCGTCATCATCATAGCTTTGTCTGTGGGTGAAAGAAATGTTTATTTCGTTGTTTTTCTTTTAGTTAAAAGTTGAAATAATTATTTTTTTTTGTTTTTTATACATTTTTCACATTTCGCCGTCTTTTTCTCTTCAAACGGTAACTGCAACACTTGTTGACTACTCGACGTGAACAATGAATGTTCTCTTGCGTGTGCTCTTCTGTGAACACTCTCACCTTTTGATGATAATACGATGATGTTGATGATGAAAACTTTTTGTTGTTGCATGCCTTTCTTGATTGGGCGTACCGCCAATTTCTTCATGACTCATGATGATGCACGACGCTGTATATCTGAGGATGTTTTTAGAATGATTCCCGAGTTGTAGATTTTAGCAGTAGTAGTAATACCAACAATACTAATAATAGGGATCACAAGGATCAAAATGTTACAACCATAATAACACAACAACAACAACACGAGCAAACTGATCATGGAAAACAAGCCCAACAACAAGGCTCTTCTACCATACCTCCCACAATCACTACTAGTTCCTCCTCCTCCATTACCCTCAACACAAACCTAACCTCTATAATTACCTCAACTATGAACATGCCAAATTCAGCTTCCTCTACTTCTTCAAACAACACTACTAATGATCCATCACAACAACAACCACAACAACCCTATATTGATCTTCATCGTTGTCATCCACAGAATAATATGATACGTACTCCCGGAGGTGGCAAACCGGATGCTAAGCCACGTGGTCGTATGACAGCCTATGCCTACTTTGTACAGACATGCCGCGAAGAACACAAGAAAAAACATCCCGACGAAACAGTTATATTCGCTGAATTCTCCAGAAAGTGTGCTGAACGATGGAAGGTAAGTCCAATATGATTTCTTTCAATTCAACTCAATTCCTTTTTTATAGATTTATTTTAAGATTCTAGATTTAAGGGTGCACTAGATGCGAAAAGGTCAAATAATTTAAAAAATACCGGAGAACTGTAAAATAGTCTAATTTTATCCGAGGGTGGGTGAGGTTATAAATTAGCAAAACATGGACATATTTATAAGCATACTTTCAGGCGGAGGACAAAAATAGAGTATGTAATATTGTAATATATATCATACTTTTTTATTAAACAAAATGTTGAAAATAATTCATGATTCTTGTGGTGAACTGTGGAAAAGAAGATGACTTTTGGAAATTACTAAATTACCGTACTTAACCTAAGCGTGTTCAATATACGTCCAAACTTATTTCATTTCAATCCCCAAACATTTGATTTAAATTTCGGATTTTTCAATGACCCACTCCAATATATTTTCAACATATAGTTAAGACACTTTCTACACACATGAACGAGAATTTCCCAAAAACCTTAATATTTTTACAACGCTTCGTTGCATTTTGCTGTTTTGTGCTGTGGACGTAGCTAAGCATATTAATGTATGTATCTTTATATGTATATATATAATAGTAAATGGGTTTGTGTGTAGATTTTTTTTGGTTTGTATGTTGTTATGTCTTGGTACATTTAGCAAGAAACATATCTATCGCATCCAACCAACCGACCAGCTAGCCAGCCAACCAACCGAGTCGGCCAAGCAAAACTAACGTTTCGAAGTGTCTGCTTCACTTTACATTTATCTCTTTTCTCTCCCCGTTCTCCGTCTTTTGCCATCGTTGAAGAATTCCCCCTTGTCAGTAATTTGGCACTTTATAAATTGCTTTTTATGTGCAAGACGGGACGACGTCTTGCGTCATATCGTTCATAACGTAGTGAAAGGATAGAAAAACCAATGTCTTTGGTAGGGAGGGAAATGGGTAAAATAATTCGATAAGAAATCCGGAGTATATGAATTGGGTAACTTGACTGACAGATCATTAGATAATGTCTATAACTATGATTTTCAAATTTTGCATGAAGGTCCTTTTAGAATGTATAAGCCTTCCCTTTAACCTCGTGGCTCATTTTGAAAGACTCGTTGAAGTTTCGAGTTTTGCTCTTAAAAACGAATATTCTTTTTGGAGTCTCGTGGAATTTTTGAGATCTTTTTAAAAAATAAATAAATCTCCAAGGTTTATTTGTAAGAACAAAGCTTTTAACTTCTTTTAAGAAGAAAACTGTCTTGAGCTTCGTGGATTTAAAAAAAAAAAAAATATTAAAACCTAAATCGTCTATTTCTTTGTTTTCTTACTCTGCTAAATTTTCTTGCTCTTGCACAAATTTTGTGGATTTTTTTGAGTTGTTAAAACGTAACAGAATTCGAATGGATACCTCAAATAATTTTTGAATATCGTAGACTTTTTTATTTTCTAGTGTTTTTCGTTGCGAATTTTTCGTAAATCTCTTGCACTTAAATAGAGACTTTTGTAAAGAATTTTGTAAGACATCTTGAAGCACTTAAATCGGGGATATTACAAACAACTTTTTAAGGCTCCATTAAGGCTCCTTGCTGTTAGTTACGGATTTTAAAGGCTCAACTAAATTCTCGAAGACGTTATAAGCAGACATTCTATAGGGTTTTGAAGATTTGTTGAAGATTCCGTGAAGGTTAAGTCTTGAAATTTGTGGAGCCACCCTAAAGCACTTAAATCAAGGATTTTTAAAGCGAAGCCAACCGAATGACATAAATTGGAGATTCCAATAGCTCGAAAATGGGGCACAGTTCCGAAAATTTAAAATTCCGGTATAAAAGGTGTTGTTCGGTCCTACAGGGTGAGCTAGAAAAAAAAAACTGCAACAAAGTTAAATGCCATAATTTTTACATTTTTTTTTAAATTTTTTTGAATGTAAACAAAAAATGTCAGAAATAACATCAAATTTTAGAATAAGTTTAGATTTGTTCGAATTGGTCACCTTTGGCACGAATTATGGCCTTTAAACGGCCAATGAAACCGTCATACGCTGCCCAAATGTTGTTCTGCATACCCGGCGAAGCGCTTGCATGAGCTAATCGACAGTTGGGTATTTTTTAGTGCCAAACTTGCTTTCCCAAATACTCCAGACACAATAGTTCAACGGATTGGTATCCGGAGATTTTGGTGGCCATTGTGCGCTGGAAATGAAGCGAGGAACCTCATTTTTTAACCATTCTTGGGTGGCACGTGCTAAGGGCGATGGTGCTGAGTCCTCCTGTTGGAATGTCCAAGTGCTGCGGCCAAAATGTTTGTGTGCCGAAGGCGTTAATACACCCTCCACGGTCGATTAATTCGAGCGAAGAGCGACCATCGGCTGTTATGGCGGCCCACACCATCATCATGGTGCACATTTTCATCTGGCCTCTTTGGCAAGTAAACACGATCATTTTGTCTGTCTACAAACTGCTGGACAACGAATGTTTTCTAATCGGAGAAAACCAAATTCGGCAGTTCACCACTTTCGGCCATGCGAAGCATTCTTTAACTCTTTTGAGTCTATTATCTCTCTGTTGCGGTGTCAGTTCTTGAACTTTTTGGAATTTTAATGGCTTTACCCTGAGTTTATCTTGTCAATATTTGCCGAATGGAATATTGCGATATGTTCAGCTCATGAGCCATTTTTCGGCCACTGCGGGTTTCGATCAAGTCGCTTCTTTACTTTTCGAACCATTTCTGCTGATGTTGCTGTTTTCTTCCGTCCACTTCCTTGACGTCGGGCTATGCTACCGGTATCACGGTAACGAGCGATGTTACGAGACACAAATGATTTATTCACATTTAAATGCTGGAGTACTCTACCGATAGCCACTTGTGCTTTTCCAGCCAAATATAAAGAAATCACACTATCACACTTGAATTCCATCACGAATAACTTTTTTTTTTTTGAAAAATTCTCACCAAAATGCCTTATAAACAATATAATGAGCTGTCATTGGAATAATTTTAACAGCTCTCGGGGACGAGTGGCTTAGAAATGACAGCAGTCTGAAGTTGGTTGCAGTTTTTTCATCTCACCCGGTATTCGTAAAATATTTCTACACAATTATTCATGATTGGAGGAATGATCTCTGGAGAAAAATGGTTTCAATGTGTATAGAATTCCCTACGGATAGATATATAACTGCTTAGGTATATAACTGAATAACTGCGTATTGTATTTAAACAATATTGATATTCATAAATTGGCAACAAGTTTCAAAGCCCAACACTTGGTAGAAGAACAAAGAATTAGGTTTTTGTGTCACAATGTGACGAAAAAGGAGAAAAGTTCATTTTCAACTACCCCCATGACTGTTTATAAAAATGTTACCTAAAAAAATATGAAATGAAAACCAACCCACACAAACATTTCTTCCAAGTACAAAGGAAAACAAATTGTACAACTTTCACTCTTCCATTTCCACTTTTTTGAAACTTTGTTTCTTGCAATCCCACTGAATTGAGAATCTTGCTGTTTTTTTTTGCAAATTTTTGTTATCTGCTTCTTTTTCCACATTAAGTGTAAATTTTCGCACTTCTAATGCGGTGAATGGGGGAGATAGAAGGGTAGAGTTGCTTTACAAAAGGGGAAAGAAGTCTGCAAACAATTTTTTTATTTTTGGAGCGATAATTATGATATGATTAGTCTTACATTTAAAGACGACCTTATTTCCGGTAAGGTATATTCAATGTCAATAGAAGTGTAATTTTCGCAAGTACCTTCAATGTCATATATAGTTTCCAGAATCATAAGCATTTAACCATTATTCAACCATATATGCTTGGTTCTAAGTTAATTTTTTGTCCTCTTTAGTTGATCCATCATCCCCCCGTTCACAAAATCCAATTTTTCCCTACTCATTACTTTGGAGCCCTGAATAGTTCAGGCGTGATTAAATAAATTATGTTATTTCATGTGTCTGCACGAGAGAATAGCAGCAGCAACAACAACAACAACAATAAGGAAGGGGGCATGCATTAAATTGCCATGGAACTTTTCTATGAAATGATGGTAAAAGTAATAGGGGTTGCTGAATGGGTTGGCTGGCTGCCTTGCATATAAAACTCCTCAACTGATGTGTGGTTGAGGGTAAATGACATTGATGGTAAAGAATGGTGATGTGATGTTGGGGCGGTGCGGGGCGGTGTGAAGTGGGGAACGACAGAGAAAAATTGCTTTGGTGTCATATGGACGACTGGTTGGTGTTATGGCACAAACCGGTTGTTGTTCTTGTTCTAGTAGATGACGATGACGACAATGATGCTGATGCTGCTGCTGCTGGTGGCAGTGTTGAAAGGAAAGAGTGGTGGAAGAAGGAAGGGGGGAAGCTTTATTGCAGTCTGAAAAACTGTGCAAGCAATTTATTTTGAACTGAACACTGGCGCTGGTGTTTTATATTCGAATTTTGTTGTCGGCCCCCACAACTAACCCAATGGCGGCAGACAGAGTTGCCAAATCAAGCATATGGAAATAGTCGACCATTTAATTCATTCACGATATATCCTCACGACGGAAAGCATTTTTCTCGAGAGATCATACCTTCAATCATCAATTATGTGTGGGAAAATAATTTGCGATTATGGCAACACTAATGGGTCTTTTTTGTACCTTGTGTAACCTATTTGTTATGCAAACAAAGCCATAGAAATATAAAAATGGGACAAGACAGAGTCAAAATATTGTCAAAAGGTGTATTTACACCAGTTATGATTATCATAACAACATAGTTACCAATGTTAAAGGCCAGATTCCTTATCGCGTTTGAGTTATTTTTTTTTTATTTTTTTAACATTTTAAAATAAACACTTTCTGGCAGACTTTAAGGTGCGTCCCACATGTTTTAAATTAAACGAAACGATATAATTTATAAAATACTTATTTTACATATAACATACATATATTATATAAATATATTTTTTATTAGTATGCATAGCATAAATATAGAAAATGTAGATGTACCTAATAGTACGTTTATATATATGAGGGTTAGCCCACTGGATTTGGATTTAAATTGTCATACCCATTACTTTTACTTCAAATAAATCCTCTCAAAGTGGGTTAACCCTACAAAAAGTTCTAACGTAAACATGGCATAAGTCCCTAACATTATGTACATATTAGCCTTAAGTGGTTTTAAGCGCTAAGGCAATATGCAATTAATTGAGAAGGCCTGTAGAATGAAGTTTTGAGACCAATTTTTGTTGTATTTGAGAAGACTCCAATATTCCGCCAAAAAGTATACTCCATAAATTCTCGTCTTTCATGTCCTTGTTGTTTTGAATGATCTTCATGCATCTAATATGAAAGTTTTTTTTCATCCGAAAACTTCTAGGTGTAGAATTGCTAACTACAGGGTGAGATTAAAAAACTGCAACAAAGCCAAACGCCATAATTTTTAACTTTTTTTTATAATTTTGTCGGAAACAGCTTCAAATTTTAGAAAAAATTTATATTTGTTCGAATTGGTCACCTTTGGCACGAATTATGCCCTTCAAAGTACCAAAGAAACCATTACATGCTGCCCGAAGCGCTTGCTTGAGGTGATCGACACTTTGGTATTTTTTTAGTGCCAGCCTTGCTTTCAAAAATACTCCAGACACAATAGTCCAACGGATTGGTATCCGGAGATTTTGGTGGCCATTGTGCGCTGGAAATGAAGCGAGGAACCTCATTTTGTAACCATTCTTGGGTGGCGCGTGCTGAGTGCGAGATGCTGAGTCCTATTGGAATGTCCAAGGTCTGCGGTCAAAATGTTTGCGTGCCCAAGGCTTTAATACACCCTCCAGAAAATTTTCGCGAGAGCGACTGTTATGGCGGCCCACACCATCATCATGGATGGCGCTTGAGTTCTGGTGGCCAACCGAAGGTGCACATTTTCAGGTGACCTCTTTGGCAAGTAAAAACGATAATTTTGTTTGTTTACAAACTGCAGGACAACCAATGTTTTCTCATCGGAGACCTCGGACCTCGGTGTGCAGCCAACTAGAAGTTGCCGTCTCTACGTTCAGAGCCATTAACCCGTCTTCCTAAAGCAGCACTAAAACAAGTGTATGCATTGGAAGCAATGTAGTTGTTGTGGACAAAAAATCCATCACTACAAAAACAAAACTTTGCTGTGTAAAAGATCTGCCAATAGAGCTTGAGTCGAACCTGGAGAGTTTCTAGTGTATAATTCGCATATGCTTATTTGCAATAAGTTCGAAATATATACTACTTTCCAGAGAAAGGCCCTTGTAAGCCATCATCCACACCAAATATGCCTGATGAGCCGCTTAACCAACGGCGAAACGCGTCGCATAGTGGTGAGTGTGTGATAGTGTCTATCTGGCTTTCCTTTTCGCTGCAAATTTCAGATCATTAAGCTCGTCTCGAAAGAGAAAACAAACACATAAATCATAAAACATATGATCTTCGCCTTAACAAGGCAAAACTCGAAAACCAAATTCGTCAGTTCATCACTTTCGGCCAAGCGAAGCAAGTCTTCAGCTCTTTTGAGTTTATTTTCTTCCTGTTGCAGTGTAAGTTCTTGAACTTTTTGGAATTTCAATGACTTTACCCCCAGCTCACTTTTTAATATTGCGACATGTTTCAGCTCACGAGCCATTTTTCGGTCACTGCGACGCGGCCTTCGATCAAGTTGCTTCTTTACTTTTCGAACCATTTCTGCTGATGTTGCTGTTTTCTTCCGTCCACTCCCTTGGTGTCGGGCTACGCTACCAGTATCACGATAACGAGCGATGGTACGAGACACAAAAGATTTATTCACATTTAAATGCTGGAGTACTCTAACGATAGCCACTTGTGATTTTCCAGTTAAATATAAAGAAATCACATTATCCTGCTTGAATACCATCACGAATAACTTTTTTTCTGGAAAATTCTCACCAAAATGCTTTTGTACGCTTGTTTTAATGAGCTGTCACGGGAATAATTTTAACACTCGAATATTATTTTAAAGGTTTCAACATCCACTACAATAAAAGTTCAAGAATTCAAGCCAAAGCCAAACCAAAATATCAGAGTGCAATCACATGAGGATATAACATGTAGTGGACGATGCAATGTGGACTTAAAGATGCCTAGAGGACTGTTTTAAATTTCATTTTGAGTACTATTTAAGGCTAAAAAAATTGGACCCAAGCAAACAACCAATGCTCTTTTTGACCTTATCAGTTAAAAAGTCGAAGGTATAAAGAGTTGGCTTTCGGTGCGTACAAAATACTACATCTGGGTTGAACATCCCTTCTCACTGTACTGCGCTAATTCAACGCCGTGGACTTAAAGAGAGGCTTAGGATACTGTTTTAGATTTCATAACAATTCTCAAACAGACCAAAATATTCATTACAGGATTAGTGCGATTTCTTGAGTTTCTATTTTAGACCAACATGATGGGCCACAACATAAGCTAACGTCCAAGAAAGAAAAATACAGAACTCACTTTCATCTCTGATCCTCCTGTCCTTCATTTTGGTACTGGTACCGACTGTGACTGACTGCCTGGCTGCTCTACTCAGCAACACTAGTTCCCTTTAGAAGATTAAAATGTACGATGTTTCCATGTCGTACAAATGTATATAAGGAATATTTTATATTTTCATTGCACATACTACATAGCAGGACAGGCAACAGCAACAGCAGCAGCGGCAGCCCTAGCACCAGCAGTCATGTACTTTGGGTGTATGCCGCCGTCATTAGGAAAAGCAAAATGAGAAAGAGAGGAGTGTATGCTCTAAAATGCGTGTGTATGTGTGTATGTATGTAGACAATCAGCCATGCTCTAGCTGGCAAATCAAGGAGAAAACGAAGAAAAAACAAAAACATAAAATTTATTAAAAAATATAGGGTGTTGGGGGTTCGTTGTTAAATTAATTGGTATTCTTTCCTTCTTCCGCCAAGCAGAGCACACAAGAGTTCAGCTTGATTTGACCTGAAGGTGATAAAGAAATTTAAATTGCATTAGAAGAAGAAAAAAAATTAAGGACATGAAATTAATTTTACAAAACCCGGTGGATTGGCTGTGGAAAAATCTAGATGCGGTTTCATAGTATCAACGGGGGGCTAAGGGGGGTTGTGATGGTTTCAACAAAGAAACTTTCACAATGTGTATCGAAAGATACTCAACTACAATTCAAACCATCTCAAAAATTTTGATCACAAGTCGAATCGGGGAAACCGGAATATTTCAATAAGCCCTCCTATTTGGAAAACCACAAGGGGCTATCGTTAGAGCACCCCAGCATTTAAATGTGAATAAATCTTTTGTGTCTCGTACCATCGCTCGTTAGCTTGATACTGGTAGCGTAGCCCGACGTCAAGGAAGTGGGCGGGAGAAAGCAGCAACATCAGCAGAAATGGTTCGAAAAGTAGAGAAGCGACTTGATCGAAACCCGCATCGCAGTAGCCGAAAAATGGCTCGTGAGCTGAACATATCGCAATATTCCATTCGCAAATATTGAAAAATGAGCTCGGGGTAAAGCTATTGAAATTCCAAAAAGTGCAAGAACTTACAGCGCAACAGAAAGAAAATAGACTCAAAAGAGCTAAAGAGTTGCTTCGCTTGGCCAAAAGTAGTGAACTGCCGAATTTGGTTTTCTCCGATGGGAAAGCATTCGTTGTCCAGCAGTTTGCAAGGAGGTCAGCTGAAAATGTGCACCTTCGGGTGGCCACCAGAACTCAAGCGCCTCACTCTACCCCCACTTATGGTTATGGTGTGGGCTGCCATAACAGCCGATGGTCGTTCTCCGCCGTATTAATCGTCCGTGGCATCAGAATAAATATCGAATATTATCGCGAAAATATTGTGGAGGGTGTATTAAAGCCTTTGGCAAGCAAACATTTTAACATTTAACAATATTAAGAGTATTTTAAAAACAAATCTAATTGAGAAAACATAGCAAAATATATAAACCAATAAGGAGAGAGGACTCCTTTAGCACTTCTAATGAATGTAAATTAAGAAGAGTTTTACTTAAATCTAAATAAAATTTGGTACTCTTTTTTTTCTTTTCTTTCTAGACAATGGTTGACAAGGAGAAGAAACGCTTCCACGAAATGGCTGAAAAAGACAAGGCACGTTATGAATTGGAAATGCAAAATTATGTGCCTCCCAAGGGTACGGTTGTGGGACGTTCCAAAAAGAAGAAACAAATGAAGGACCCCAATGCGCCGAAACGATCATTGTGAGTTCGTAGCAAACAATCTTAGATCATTTTCTTCTATGCAATTTGTTATATGTATATACATGTATAAAATATTTAAAATATCTATTAAAATCTGTGTGTGTGTGTGCTTGAGTGTTGAAATCAAATATCTCTAATTTTCTTTCTTCTGTGACTTTGTTTTAGATCTGCCTTCTTCTGGTTTTGCAATGAGAAACGTAATGAGGTTAAGGCCCTCAATCCCGAATATGGTGTTGGCGATATCGCCAAAGAGCTGGGCAGAAAATGGGCCGATGTTGAACCTGAAGTTAAACAAAAATATGAATTAATGGCTGAAAAGGATAAGGCACGATATGAAAGAGTAAGTAAAAAAGGATTTAAAACAACACCACAGAAAAGTAAGCCTCAATTTATTTTTTGTTGTGTTTTTGCAGGAAATGACGGAATACAAAACAAGTGGGAAAATTGCCATGTCTGCCCCCTCCATGCAAGCCCAACAGCAGGCGGCGCAAAAGGCTGCTCTACTGGCTGTGGCTGCTGCCCAACAGGCACAGCAACAGCAGCAGCAACAACAACAGCAGGCGGTACATCATGACGATCACGATGAAGATGATGCAGAGGGTGATGATGATGAAAATCAGTAGATTTAATAATTAATATTATGCCCAAATGTTGCTTATGAGATAAAAACAAACAAACAACAACAAATCAATCAACCAACAACAACAACAACAACAACAAATATTATTCAGACAATTAAAGAATAATGCAAGCGAAAAGAAACAAAAACAAAATTCCACCATTCTTATTACTAAAATCCACCACCACCACCCCCATAAGAAACACTTCCATAACACGTTTCTCCTACCACCCCCCTCGTCAAGCCAGCCAACTACATTTTAAACCAGTTTATTTTGTACATTTTAACTTGTTTTAGTTTCCCACCAGCCTTCCTTCCTTCTCTCCCTTAAAAAATAAGCTTAAGCTTCACAATCACAAGACCAACTACCAACTTATCTCTCACTTTTCAATAATTTTCAACAAAACAACACAGGGTAACAAAAGGTTTGATACATTTTCGGAAAAAAAAAAATGAAAACAAGAATGAATTCCATTTTTCTTCTCCCCCTCCCTCCCTCTCTTCGATTTATATATGTATGTACGTACCTCAAGTATGTATGTGTAAATAAAGCAAGATATTTTTGTTGCCCTGTGTTCTTTTTTTGATATGTAACTAGAAAAAAGACCATTATATTTTGACCATCATATAAATATATATATTTTTTAAATAATTCACAACACACTTTTTCTCCCATACAAAACAAGAAAAATGAAAACACACACAACAATTAATTTTTCTTCTTTTATTTTGTAGAAAATGTGTTGAAATTTTTCTTAATTTTTTTTATTACCACTAATTATACGCTTTAATTTTTGTGTGAAACTCAAGTTAATGAAGCAGAAGATGATGATGATGATGAAAAAAATTACTGTGTAATTTTTATTTAACAAAAAAAAAAAAAAAAGAAAAACTATTAAAACTTTATAATTTTATTCGTATTTTTTTGCAAATTTCCAAAACAAACAAATTAGTAACTGAGTTATAATACATGTTTTCATTTAAGGTAAAACTGAAAAACAAAAAATCTTTAAAAAAAAATTTAAACCTAACCTAAAATATACAAACATATACATATAAAGAAACAAAATCTAAAGAAACAATTTTAGGTTACAACAAAATCATCATATACTCTCCGACCCAACGGCATACATATTAACATTATGATAAATATATATATTGTTTTAAATTGAACTCTATACTACTACATACATATATATATATATAAATATTGTAAAGTGAACTTTTTATAGAAAACAAGATTAAACGAAAAAGATTTGGCGTTTTTATTTCACAGACAGTATAGATTGTGTAGTTAAAACAGCTTTGCCGCCTACTGTAGCAGATTTAGGAGGATTATGAGGTTTTGTTGTTGAATTCGTGGAAGGAACATTTCAAATGCATACATAGCAGTACAGGGTGAGATAAAAAACAACTACAACAACTACAAAGTCAAACGCCATAATTTTTACATTTTTATTTAAATTTGATTGAATGAAAGCAATGTCGGAAATAGTATCAAATTTTAAAATAAGTTTAGGTTTGTTCGAATTGGTCACTTTTGGCACGAATTTTGGCCTTCAAACAGCCAATGAAACTGTCACACGCTGCCCGAATGTTGCTCTGTGGTGTTTTGGCCCATTCCCGGCGAAACGCTTGCTTGAGGTGATCGACACTTTGGTATTTTTTAGTGCCAACCTTGCTTTCCAAAATACTCCGGACACAATAGTGTTCAACGGATTTGTATCCGAAGATTTTGGTGGCCAGTGTGCGCTGGAAATGAAGCGAGGAACCTCATTTTGTAACTATTCTTGGGTGGCGCGTGCTGCGTGCGATGATGCTGAGTCCTGTTGAAATGTCAAATGGCTTTAATTAATACACACTCCAGAATATTTTCGCGATAATATTCGGCATTTATTCTGATGCCACGGTCGATTAATATGAGCGGAGAGCGACCATCGGCTCTTATGGCGGTCCACACCATCACCATGGCCGCCGGCGCTTGAGTTCTGTTGGCCAACCGAAAGTGTACATTTTCAGCTGACCTCTTTGACAAGTAAACACGATCATTTTGTTTGTTTACAAACTGCAGGACAAGGAATGTTTTCTCATCGGAGAAAACCAAATTCGCATCACCACTTTCGGCCAAGCGAAGCAACTCTTTAGCTCTTTTGAGACTATTGTCTTTCTGTTGCGGTGTAAGTTCTTGAACTTTTTGGAATTTCAATGGCTTTACCTCGAGTTAATTTTTCAATATTTGCCGAATGGAATATTGTGATATGTTCAGCTTACGAGTCACTGCGACGCGGGTTTCGATCAAGTCGCTACTCAACTTTTCGAACCATTTCCTTCCGTCCACTTCCAGTATCACGGTATGGAGCGCTGGTACGAGACACAAAAGATTTAATCACACTTAAATGCTGGAGTGCTCTAGTTTGACAAAAAAAAAAAAAAAAAACAATCAACTTGGGTGAATGTTTAAAACGGGGTTGCTGTTTTTTTCTATCTTCAGGAAACTTCAGAAAAAAGGGTAAGGGCCAGTTTAGTTAATGAGTTATAAGTTGTGGCTTCAAGAACTTTGTGTTTTTTTATTGTCGGTAATTTGTTATTTCTTTATATTTCCGACGTCAGGTCAAAGCTTTAACTATGGTGGACCTACAATATTTTGTGAGAGAGTTAATGAAAATGAAAACCACCTATCAATCCCTCTTTTTCTCACAGTGAATAGGTCAGAATTGCTGTAAGTGAAATGCTAAAAATATAAGAATATATGAAGTTCCATTTCCAAATAGAATAAATAAATTCTATAATATAGATTAGGGATTAACGTGATTCCCTGCCAACATCGAATATCCACGCTTCACTCAGTCCACATAAAGATCAAAAAATTAAAAAAAAAGTTGTAGGGAAAAAATTTTACAACAGATATCAAGTTGTCTTCATTGAAATTTTCATCAAGCTAAATTCCATTTTTCAAAATTGTCTGGTTACTAAAATCACCAGGATTAATTACAATTTCCAACAAATTATGAAGAGATTATTTCAAAGTTTAATGAATATTTGTTCTTTTTTACATTGTGTATCCCTAAAAGTATGCCATGGGTTTCGAACGTTTTTATTTCTTGACATTTGTAGTGGCAAATGGAATTGATAGGCATTTAAAGGAGGAAATTTAAAGCTATCTTCCTGAATTAAATTACAAATGATATGGCAATTCATTTGTTGTGGAAATTATTACTCTGAACAAGGAAGAGTTAAAAAAGTGAAACTTTTGGTTGAATTTATTGAAGAAGGCAAAAATGAATAAAATAAATGTGGGAAAAAAAGCATGTGACCTAAATTAAATTAAATCTATAATACCTTTCTTGTTATTTTACATTGAAAGCCCCAGTCAATAACTTATGCCTGACCGAAATATTCTCATATTTGTTCAGACCTGGGCCTCAATTCTTGTTCTATGAAAATGTGAAATGAAAGCTTTGTAAAGGAAAAAATGTTATTTAGGAAATATATTTCATTTTCTTCTGGCTGACCCTATAAAACACACCTTGGAGAACTTGAAACAAATCGAATTATCAATTTGAATATTGCTTTGTATTAGAATTTTAGTTTAAAAAGAAAACCAAGTTAATGGTAATTACCGTTCTCGTTACTTTTTTTTCTATCCATTATCTCCCTTCCAAAAACTCAGTTTTGCTTTAAAGAAAACTTCCTTGTATTTAAACTCAAAATTCTATAGTTTGTTTTCCATATTCAATTGATGTCTTGGTTTTTTATTTTTTTAAGTTGCCACAATATCATTTTGTACATACATTTAATATACCACATGATTTCACTGTAAATATTTATGATGAAATAGCAAACAAGCAAAAATAGCCGTACAATCTAAAAATTTGTGCAAAAAATTTAAATTTTATATATTTTTGGTGAGAAAATTACAAACATCTTTCTGTTTTCCAGTAAATTTTTTAATTGTTTAAAACAAAAATGTTTTTGTAATGAAAAGAAACGTAAAAAAGCGATTTTTTGTGAAAAAGAATAGAATTTTTAAAAGAAAATTGGCTTAGAAGGGATATTTTATTCCAAAAATTCAGTTTTCTTTCAAAAAAAAATGTTTCTGTCTGTCAACCTTAAAAACCAACAGTTAAATATTTTGAATTATTTCTGATATAAGTGATATACATAACTATGATATACAGGCTATTTACAAATTGCCGCCACATATGTCATTGCTTATATCACATATAATATTATTAAAAAAATAAAAATATATTTTGTAACTTATAAATTTTCTTTTTTGCATAAACTTTTAAAATAATGCTTTTTGATTTAGAAAAAAAAAAAACACACACACATAAAATGCAAACAATTTCAGGCTCGAAAAGTATTCCTATTAAATGCAAGTAAAATAATAAAAAAAAAAAAAACAATATACAAAAATATCTATATATACAAATATAAGAAATTATAATAAAAAATAAATATCAATAAATTTATATACATATATATAAGAAAAATTAAAAAAAAAATATTGTGGTAAATTAGAAAAAAAAATATTCTTTAGACAAAACATTTGTAAAAAGCGTCCAAGTGGCAAATTGAAATTCAACCCTAGTATCCTATCAATTTTCATTTCTGAAAAAAAAAAATCAATTTAACCATCCCCACCACATTGTGGTCTTTTGATTACTTTTGATTATTTCACAGACCATATGACTGTATAAGTGGCAAATTGAAATTCAACAGGAAAATCCTATTAATTTTTCATTTCTGAAAAGAAATCAATTTAATCATTCCCACACATTGTGGTTTTTTGATATAAGTTTATAGTTCGCATTTGTTTGTAACGGCCGAAAATTAACAAGAAAATTTCTTAAACATGGCTTATACAGGATCGGCCAGTAAGACAATTAAGTTTGCTAAATCACAATAGCTCAAAAAACTACTACATTTTTTTTGTCAAATTGTGGTCAAATGATATCAGTCTTCCCGGGCGACTTTTTGTATACCTCGATCTTAAATTTCATACAAAACAAATGTGGAAACCTAATTCCGACTCAAACTTTACCCATTATGTTTCTATTAAACTTTAATGATGTCCTCCTCCAAGGGTCAATATGGTTTATATTCCTCATTTTCGAAGATGAATTATATCTGCAAACTTCTAATATCTTGCTCACAAATTGCATACCCGGTAATCGGAACTTAAAACCAATGGACTAATCTATCTCATAAAGTTTTCCTTATGGAATTTTTAATTTTAAATTCAATTCATATTCAAATAAAAAGCAAACTCTATTACAATACCGGACCAATTAAAAGACCCTTTCTGATAAGTTTTACACAGCACAGAGTTAAACTGACCATATGGTTTTTCTGTTATATAAAAAATAAGACCTCGCACGTTTATATATAACTTCTGCAAAATTGTTTCAATTATTTTTCTTTATTGAAATAAAGTGAGAGAAATTTGGTAAAAACAAAAATATATTGAAGGAATATTACAATCAATATTAAAACAAAATCTATCAGTGAATTAACGGCAACAACAAAAATCTTTAGTAACACCAATATACATACATACATATACTAAATCTAATGTATAAAAATAATTTATCAAAACAAAAAGTATAACCTAAAAAATATATTAAAAAACTTATTGTTAATAATCAGTAATACCCCAGAGAAAAACAAACTTCCACAAGAAATAACACTGTTTATTTGATAAATGAACTATTTCAAAACAAGTTAGAATTCTTCCTGCCACCTCGTTCGTCTACTCTATGTATATCCCGTGACAACCCAACATACTCATTTTTTGCAGGGTTTCTTTAAGAAACCACAGAGGTTTTGAACTTCCATTTAAAAACTAAAGCAACTCTTTAAAAGACGCTATGAAATTTGGTATTAAGGCGCTCAAAATAAAAGGAAACGCTGCCTTTTTGTGAAGGAGGAAATGTCTATGAAAATGTGACGTCATTATACCTTAAGGTAAGAGCACATTAAATGCTCTGTTTTAAATGGAATTATTACAAAGCTTTCAATATTTTACCTTACAATTGAAAATTTCAAATTCTATAGAGTGAGATTGATATGTAGTGCTTTTTTTAATTATTAATTTAAGTTCTAATTTTATTTTAAAATTTGGATATAATTTTTTTTTTTGTAATTTATATTTTGAATTAAGATTACATTTCTTTATCTCATAAAAACCATTCATTATAAGGAAGAAATCTATGAAATCTTTTCATTAAAATTAAATACATGAATTAATTTTCTGAATAATCTAAAAAAATAGTTGATCGTTAATATCTTTAATTTTTATAATTTAATTAAGATTTGCTTAGTATTATAAAACAAACTAGTTTACAATACCCAAACATACATAAATACAAAACACAAATTAAAATTTTTAAAGGAACAAACAAAAAATTATTTAATATTTTTTTCTAAAAGAACAAAATAACTACAAACCCCAATTAAGAAAATGAAATAACTTGTGAAATTATTATAAATTTAATTAAGTTTACTTAAATGAAAAAATACATATTTTAGGTTATATTTTAAGGAAAAAAAAAAACATAAAGTAAATTTGCATATTTAGGCCTAAAATTAGATTAATTATTAACAATAATCCAATACATGAATAATAAATACAATTAAAAACAAAACAAAAAACTACAGACAATTGTAGTCTTGTGTAAATTTTTTAGGATTTAAAAATATTTTTTGTTTTATTTTTGAAATAAAAAGATATATAATATAGCGAAAGATACAAAACACAAAACCCTTATAAAAAAATATTTTTTGTTTATAACAAAAACAAAAAAATAGAGAACCTACACACACTCGTACTAATGGTAAATTTTTAATTCTAAAGAAAAGTTACAAGATGAGAGGGGCGTATATACAAAATAATATATTAAAAAAAATAATAATAATAATAAAACTAGTATATATTTATATATAAACAAAACAAAAGAAAAACATGAAATCCTCATTCAATTTCTAAAAATACAAGGACAGACAATCTCTATTAATTTAGAGATGCAATATAAAACAAACACCACACTCATACACATATAAATTAGGGTGAATTATTGGTTCATCATCATTCTTTATATACAGACCGACAGACAGCAGCAGCAAGTGCAGAAAGTAAATAAAACAAAAAAAGTGGAATATTTTTTAAAACAAGTAATGAGAAAAATCATTAAGAGATCCTTGCAACACTCAAATGAATGATTGTCAAGAAAAAATAGAAGAGAAACTGGATAAATAATAATAATAAAAAAAAAAACACTCACAACACACAAACTCCCAGAATAAAATTTTAGTAACAAAAAAAAACAAATAAATACGTACAGATGTAAGAAGTAATTAAAAAACAACAACAACTAAGAGCAAACAGAAAATGGAGAAAAAAAAATATATTAAATAATAATGAAAAAATCTAAAAAAAAGTAATAAATTAAATAAAAAATAATTTCATTGTGTGTTTTTCATTTCTGTCAGGGACTCATCATAATCAGTCTTATTCATAAGACAAATTCCAGTGGTGCCTTCGCTGGGTTTCCTTTCGACAGAAAGAAAATACACTCAAAAGAGCTAAAGAGTTGCTTCGCTTGGCCGAATTTGGTTTTCTCCTATGAGAAAACATTCCTTGTCCGGCAGTTTGTAAACAAACAAAATTATCGTGTTTACTTGCCAAAGAGGTCAGCAAACATTTTGGCCGCAATCCTTGGACATTCCAACAGGACTCAGCACTATCGCACTCAGCACGCGCCACCCAAGAATGGTTACAAAATGAGGTTCCTCGCTTCATTACCAGCGCACAATTGCCACCAAAGTCTCCGGATACCAATCCGTTGGACTATTGTGTCTAGATTTGTGTATTTTGGAAGGTTGGCACTAAAAAGTACCAAAGTGTCTATCACCCATGCATGCGCTTCGTCGGGAATGAACCAAAATACCACAGAGCAAGATTCGGGCCGCGTGTGATGGTGTTTCATTGGTTTCATATATATATACTAGTAAAAGGAGAGATGGAAATTATGGAAACATAAAACTAGTAAATATATTAAAGTAAGGTGGCAATCCTTTAAAATTAACATTTCAGCCAATCAGAAGTTTTAAATTTTGCCTGCGAGTCTTACTACGTTTTGGCATGGTACTATAAAAAGTTAAGTAGAAGTACCAGCTGATATTATTATTTATTTTTTTTTGAATCTGTATATTTTCTCAACAATTTTTCATACCATTGAAAAGAACACACCCATGCACAAATTAATTTGGCATGTTAAGCCAGGCAAATAAAAAACTTAAAATCATTTGGTAGGAGTGTCCTACTTTGATTTTATTGTACCATAGTTGTGATCATATTGCAATTTGCTTCCTTTTTGCAAATCATCTTAAATAATAATATTTTCATCAAGGTTATATTATTATTATTATTGTTATTATTATTATTATTATTATTATTATTATTATTATTATTATTATTATTATTATTATTATTATTATTATTATTATTATTATTATTATTATATTATTATTATTATTATTATTATTATTATTATTATTATTATTATTATTATTATTATATTATTATTATTATTATTATTATTATTATTATTATTATTATTATTATTATTATTATTATTATTATTATTATTATTATTATTATTATTATTATTATTATATTATTATTATTATTATTATTATTATCATTATTATTATTATTATTTTTGCTACTCCATTTTGACACTTTTTAAATTTCCATTTCGGCTATTACCATGGTACAAGAATATAAGTAGACGCATCGACACAGCTGCTGGGACAATGAACTGTCAAACCAATTTTGGAATTGAAAATGTTGAATGAAAAATTATTTAAATTTGTAAAAATTGTTAAAAATCTCCAATTATAATAACCTCAGAATGACGTCGTATAAGAAAACATTTAAAAATCTACTCATATTTCAAAAAACATTTAAAATTTTTTGACATATCAATGCTCCTAAGCGTTGATGCGTCTACCTGTGTTCTCTGCCATGTAAGAAGGTAAAGTCATGCAATTATATGATTACAACTTTTTTCAAAAATATTAATTTGACAACATCTCTTTGTCAAAATTTATGTTTACGAATGCATTGCATACACAGAAATCGGATATGGGAACCTATTTTCTATGCATTGACATTTGACAAGGTATGTTACAGAAAATGCAGAGATGGGAATGCTTATTTGAAATGACTTTACCTTCTTAATTTTACCATGAGCAAAACATTGTAAAATTTTGGGAGGAAACTGTTATGTCCTACCATTTTAGATTCAATCTTGTTGAATAAACCCAAAATTCCATTTTTGATTAGGGGGGTTTCTCAATAAAGGAATTTTGTTTAAAAAATAAAAAATAAACAACACCAATTGTTGCATAATTAAAAATCTATTTAACACTATAAGACTCCAGCACAGAGTTAAATTTTTCTAGTTTCTTAGAAGTTGAGTAATCTTTCTTATTGAGCAATGGTTGTGATCATATTTCCAAAAAGAGCATCCAGACATTTCGTTATTTATTTATTTTCTGCAACTTGTCTTCCTTTTAAAAGAGGAGAGGAGTATGAAAATGTTTGCAATTCATTTTAAATTATAATATTTGCATCAAGGTTGTATTATTTTTATTTTCCTTTCAGACACCCACATTTTATTTTTTTATTTATTTATTTTTTTTTTTTTTTTTTATTTGCTACTCCACTTTTGACCATTTTCATGTTTCCATTTCGCCTATTACTGTTAAATCATGGTAGAATATAGGTAGATGCATCAACGCTTGGGAACATTGATATGTCAAAAAATTTAAAATGTTTTTTGAAAAATAAGTGGATTTTTAAATGTTTTTTATACGACGCAAATCAGAGGTTGTTATTATATGAATTTTTCAACAATTTTTACAAATTTTAATCATTTTTCATTCAACATTGTCAATTCCAAAATTGGTTTGACAGTTCATTGTCCCAGCGGCTGTGTCGATGCGACTACCTGTATTCTTCTACCATGTGCTAAATCAAGTGAGTTTACCTTCAGTGGTATAAACGTACAGTCAACCTGATTATTCAGCTTATCCGGATATGTAAACGAGCTATGAATTACTAAGAGGGCCCTGACAACGAAGCAGAGCCATTATTTCGTCGGCGGCTAATCTGTTGTAAACAAACAATGTCAGAACGTTGCCATTTTTGTCGGCGGCAACGATGTGTTGACATTGAAGAAAAAATTTTATATTTTTATATTCTTTTCTCACTTATTTCCTTTATTCGGGAACTTTTTAACTTTTTACTTTTTAAAAAAATATAGGCCAAATACATTTTCTCTAGTTTCTTGCCAGCGATTTTTGGCCGATTCGGTAGGATAAAGGCAGCGGCGGCTAACATCTGAATAAAAAGGAGCGACGGCGGCGATTTACAATCGACTTGCTTCTACTTCTGTTTCCACCGATCTTGTTGATCTTTTCTTTTTTTTTTAATTTAATTTGTTTAAAGAAGTTAATGAGTAAAATTTATTAATATTTGTCGTGATAATGTAGCAACAACGTCTCTCTGGATGCCCTTATCTTAAAGAGAACATATTTACATTCCAAATTGAATATGCAATTTATTAAGGAAATTCTATAGAGCTTCTCAAGTCTTAATCCGCACCAAAGGCCAAAGCCATCGGACAAAATAGTGAGATCAAAAGAATGCGTGAAATTCCTACCAAACAAACAAATCCTCTTAACACCAATGGAGCATACACTGTGGGACCAAGCATCAGCAATTCGTCCAACGTGGAGGCCGTAAACGAACAATATCAACAATATAAACATCTAATGCAACAACGTCAATGCCCCCAAGAAAGTAATTATCAACAATGGAAGCGAATGGAAATCAGTTCCATATGCCCCGGTGGCAGTGCATCATCTCATTGTACCATAAGCTATTTGGAAATATGTTCCACAGCCTTATCCATAATAATGAGAGCAATGACTGTGTGTATAAATATTAAATTGGCTGTTGATTATCAACGTCAAGGACATCAAGATTACTTTATATGGACCGTTATATGCATTGTAACCCCAATGATTATAACAATGCTCATACATGCAAATATGTAAGTAGTTTTAGCTTGAAGTACATGGAATTTCTAGTTACGAATACATTTTTCCTCGGCCTCCTTTCCATGCAGGTGTTATCAAGATGGCAAATTTAGCAATGGGTGTGGTCAAATTTTACAGACACTGTTTTTAGTTTTGGTATCGTCATTTTTCTTTCGCTATTGGAAGTCGTTTGTCTATGCCATAAAATGTAAAAAGGCTCAACTGGTTGGTGATAAACAGGCTCAACTGAAGTGAGTTTTTTTGGTCATTCAAGAAATGATGTCCCTTTAAACATGCAATTTATTTCATTTAGATATTACAAATTAAATATTCGTGAAGAGAGTGATGTTGCATTTATACGCCTGTTTGAGTGTTTTCTCGAGGCAGCACCCCAAAAAATTCTGCTCATATCAATTATTTTGGCCCACAGAGATAAAATGTCAAGTGAGTTAACATGTCCCTCTACCAGTCGATTTTAAAATATTAAAATAATACTAATTGTTTTTATATTAGATGCTCAAATCATTGCCATAATTTCATATTTTGGCAGTATGGCCTGGTCTCTATCCGTTTACCATCGTTACAATCGTTATTCGCAGAGTGATAAATACAATATAAGTACAAATGGTGTTATATTACAACTTTGTTGGCATTTTTGTATATCAGGTGAGCTATTCCAGATTTATTATTAAGTGGATTTTCAAAACATATCATCTGCTGTGTTCCAACCTCCCTTCTTTTGAAATTACTGCCAAATGGGTAATGCTAGGAACACAATTGGAGCGAACGACGAATTTCGCCCTACGCGGCGACAAAATAAGCCGCGAAAATTCGTCGTATGGAACACAATACCGACGAAATTATAAAACAGCTGATGAAGTTGTTTACTTTTTGCTCATTTGTTGACTACAATGAATTATACAAGAACACATAATTCTTTACGTTCTCTATTATAATTTCACTTATGTCCATCTTCTCTATTATAAATTCACTGATATCCATATTCACTCAGGCGCAAGTACACAAATAAATAAACAAATTAATTATGTTTTTTTTATACGAGTAACAGATAGTAGAGTGACCATAACAAATTTTAAAGTAAAAAGTAACTTTATTTACTAAAACACATAAATTCGTACAAGTATGGCCACCTTGTACTGTTTTGTTCGCCGGTCGCCGGCGTATGAAATAGAAATAAAGCTAATTGAGTTCGCGGCGACCGACGAAATTTTCGCCGGTGCCGTGATTGTGTGCACTTCCATATACACATATGTGTTTTATTTTTGACGACGAACATACGCCGCGAAAAAATTCGTCGTTCGCTCCAATTGTGTTCCTAGCATAAGGCTGTTACACGTAATGTGGAATTAAGTAAATATTTTAAACATTGGACAGGGAAGTGTGCAGGCAGGCTACCCGAGTTGGTTACTATTCCTGTGTGCGTCCCTGACACCGAATATTATCACCAGCGACGAAATAATACATATACCACTAATTTATAGGGTATTACCATCACTCATAGTGCTCAATCATGTCACATCTATACTACTTAAGAAATTCCTAACGATGGCATTAATTTTCATACATTCTTTATTTGAATATTTATTTGTATTTTCATATTCCAATATAGTTACTTATGTTCTTTTCTTTCTTTGTTCATCTATTTCAGCCTCCCGTACCTTATGCATTGCATTTGTTGCCAGTGTATTTCCCCTGTGGACGTTATTGACCTGTCTAATACATGCTCTAGTCTTTGGTCTCGTAACATTTTTAGTTGATCGCCCAAAATTTGCCCGCTCACAGTTGGGTAATTTCTTCTTCTGTCTAATATTGGGTGTTGTATATATTTTTACATACATTTCGGTACGTGATGCACCCACACGTTATAAATACTTGTTTTATTATATGTTTTGTTCTATGGAAAATGTGATCTGTATTGCAATATTTGTATTATTTGCCTCACCCGATTTAATATCAATTGGATATCTATTTTATCCATTATGTGCAATGGGTTTTTCATTTTATTATATTGGCATTGTATTTATGATAATATATTATTTATATTTTCATCCACGCATTACGGCACGAACATCGAAACGTATTATAAATAATAATTGAGTTCAGATTATTACAAAGTCACAAATGTTTTTGATATTGCAATAAAATTTAGTGATATATATAGGCTCTGAATATCCACCGGATTGAGAGGTGTTCAAAAATGTATGTAAATGCATGTGTATTTTTTAGTAATATCTTTAAGATCCTGAGTGAATTTATGATAAAAAATAAATTAAGGAGCATTTGCCCTAAAAATATATTTTCAGGGTACAGTAACCTCCCGAAGAATATATGAACTTACAATGAAAAACAAAATAGGTAACGACAAATGTAGACATAAAACGGCAATATTTAGCATTATTGTTAAACAAGGTTTTTATATTTGAAAAAAAAATGGAAAATAAAATAAAAACGATATTTTTTACAATAACTATATAAAGGTCTTTTTCTATGTAGTTATTTATCATTAAAAAACTCATTAATGCAACTCTGGAGAAATTCTGATGCTTTCTCTCTACCTATATAGTTATAATATATAATAACTAGTTCCATCAACTTTCCCAAAGTTGACGACATTTTTTGCTTTCATTTAATAAAATGTAAAAATTATGGCGTTTGACTTTGTTGCAGTTTTTTATCTTGTATGGAGTTTACTTGTCGTTTTACAGTCGTATTTAAGTTTCAAGAAGTAGCAAACATGAGTAACGTTAAGGTGTTATTTCAATACCTCCCTTTGCGAAATGAACTAAATTGAAATACAATAGCTCTTTTCTTACAACGTTTTAAAATTTATTTATTTTTTGTTTTTTGCTTTCACTGAATAGTGGTTGTGGTACAAGCTAAAATAAATCGTCTAGAAACATATTTGATATTTTTTTAAAATTAATATTTTAAGATACCATTAAAAAATCTCTTGAAAGAGAAAATAAACAAAAATCCTTATAATATAAACTAGGAAAAAAAGAATGATATACACAACTTAAAATGAACTAAAAAGATTTGTAGTTTTTGTTGTTGTCATTTAAATTAAACTATTAACGAAATATCTTAAATATAGAAACATTGTGTATTTCCTTGCTTTTTCAATTCATACAATATTATGTATATTTTTAGTTTTGTTTGTCAAAATTAACAACAATTAACAATTATCCCATGGGAGTAAAAATATTGCAGAGCGCTCTTTTCGAAAACTTATTGCAAACGCATTGTTTGATTGTGAAACCATGAAATATTTTTAATTAAAAAACAAATAGGGACCACAGAGTATTTGGTTATTCGGACATAACATTTAAATGTTTTAAATGTACTGAAATATAATTTGTTTTTGAATTGCAATCTGTTGTTAACTATTTTAGGTTTATATTTAAAAATGAAATATGTATATGGCCTTTTTGTTATTACCTAAGAGTTCGAAGAATGTAGGAAATTGAATAACGGATATTTGTCATGGGAGTCACTATAAACAAATTTCAAGATAAGGAAAGACAAAGGAAATCTGTAAATACTTTAGATACTACATTTTTCCAGATACTACATTTTTCTTGATATCATAAAGGAAAAATTGGTTATTGTCGTAACAGTGTTACATTCTTGCAGGTTCTGGAACAGAGCAAAGTTCAAAGAAAAAGGTTCTTTTTTTATAAATTACATTATTATTTGTATGTGTAGGAAATTTTGGGATTTTCCAGCAGAGTTTTTTTTAATTATATGGCATTTTAGAAGTGGTATAGCCGTGAACCTCATAAGGCTCTAGTAAAATATTTACGACTATTTTTGTAAACAAATTAATTCAAAAGCCTCAATCCATCTGTGACCAAACGTTTAAAATTTTCTGATATGATGAAAAACTGTACCCATAAATTCTTTTTTTTAGATACCTATATAAATATTTTACAGTTATAAAGTTATGAACTCCTAAAGTATATAAGTTTTCAGGAGATAGTCTTTCTAGACTTTTTTAATATGTTATTAAATATAGAATATGGTTATTGGGAGTTTTTCTTCAATTCATCAAAAAGACACCCATAGCATAACTTCAATTTAAGGAATACTTGTAAAACAATTTTATATTTTTTTCAGAAGGAAACAATGACTAAATTGCCCCATGTCCCAATGTTGCGCTTTTCACTTTCCATACATTCTTCCTTACACAGATAGGAACTAATTTTTTTCGATTATAAAAATCAATGTGAATTTGGTACTGATGCTGCTGATGTAACCGACGCCGGCGGCTCAGCATTAGCATGTTGCCCCTCGTCATGCTCTTTTTGCTGCTGTTGCTCTTGTTGTTGCTGTAGTTTAAGCCTTTTCTTTGCCTGAATATCAGCCAACGTTTGTTCTATGGAACGAACATCCTTCTTATTTTTACTCGGCACGAAACCATAGGTAGCATTTGTTTCAGTCTTTCGGGCAGCCTCCAAGGCTGCCTCTTGACCAATAAGATGAGCATACTTGTCTTTATAATTAAATGTAGGTTTAATCTCGGTTTCTTTGGAGGCGTTATTTCGACCAGTACTATTGGGGCTATTGCTGTTGTTGTTAGTTGTTTGGCTAGCAGATGTGGATGGTGGAGAATTTTGTACGGAAGCACGAGCCAGTCTTTTTTGTTCTTCTATCTCTTTTTGTTTTTGCCGCCTTTCGGCATACTCTTTGGCCACTTCTTCATTCCAACCATCACCATTTCGACGTGCTGCTATCTCATCTTCTGTCGGAGCATTTTCTTTTTTATAGACCACCGAATAGCGATCAACATCTTCACAGCCAAAACTCATGCATATGAATCCACCATATTCCGCCACCTCATGTATTATGGAACGATGTACCTTATCCAAAGGTTGAAACTCAATATGAGGACGATCGTCTTTTGCAAATCTACCCACTCGTTCCTCAACGAATTTTCTGAATCGCAATAGCTCTTCTTTTTGTTTGTTTTTTATGCGTTCTGCCATTTCTTTTTGGCGTTTAAGTAATTTCTTTTGTTCTTCATTGGCCGTGGGTGGCTTGTCCATTGCATTTAGTATGGATCCTAGCAAATCCATCTTTTATGTTGATTGATTTGTGTGTTATGTCGCCAGGCAAAAAAATTGTGATTTCCCGTTTGAAGTGACGGTCGACTCTGTTTTGGAGAAGGGTTAGTCTCCTATGAGTCTGGAATATACCTCCGCTGAATATTTTATTGCAGTTTTGATCACAATATATATAAATATTGGAATTTTATATATTTTTGATTTTTTTGCACCATAAAAGTTTAATAGAATAAATGAAATGTATTAAACAAGGTAGATCTACCTTGGTATTAAAATAGCAATGATTAGCAGACAACGAAGCGGAATGATATTTTTTCGGCGGCGACGACTGTAGACCAATCGACGGCGGCGTGTTGTTTATTCCGTGTACTCTGTACAAAGAACTAATACAAGAGGCAACCGCCGAATAGGACAATGTGTAGAAAGTGGAAGAGGCAACATGCCGCAAAAGCTGTTTGCTTACCTGTGAATAAAAAACAAAATGTATGAGTTCACCTAATGAACGAAGGGACGAGTGTCTAAGAAGAAACCGAACAAGAAAATGTTATAGATATTTTTTAACCATTTTGTTAATCAATTTTTTCCTACGTATTCGATTGGGGGCTAATATATATCACATTAACTCGCTTCCACCACTGGTGGCTATGTTTAGTAGTTCACAATCAAGGTTCAATTCAATAATTCACTGGTGAAAGTGATGGAACTAGTCATACAAAGTCGTTACTTTCTGTTGACAGATTTGAGATTTTATTTATTTCAATTCATTCATGTAATAAAAGCCTTTAAGGCCAAAAAAATTACATTATAATAAGTTCTGAGCAAACTAAAATTATTAAAAATATAATCAATAAATTCATAAAACTAGAAAAAAGCTTAGTTTAAATTCATGTCAATTCGGGTTACGTAAAAATGTGCGATTACCGAGCAAGAAACATTATACGATGCTTCAATGTAAACATAGCCTATTTGATAATGTGAATAATTAAACGAAAAATTCGAATATAAGAAAATTGCATTTATGCAAGAGGATCTTTACATAAAACAAAAACAACAAACATTTGCAAAGTTAAATGGGTAATAGTACATTTATATTTTTTTTATTGGATTTACGAAATTGCATATTCAATAAATAAATTATCATAAATGAGTTTAGCCCATGGTAGAAGAATACAGGTAGTCGGATCGACAAGCTGGTGGGACAATGAACTGTCAAATCAATTTTAAAATTTTAAATTTTTGAATGTAATAAATAATACAATTTAATTTTACAAATATGTAAAAATGGTTAAACAAATGCATATCATAAAAACCTCCGATTCGCATTGTATAAGAAAACATATACAAATCTACTTATTTTAAAAAAAAATAGAATTTTTTGACATATCAAGAGTTGATGCATCTTCTACCATGGTTTAACCTGAAATGTCAAAACAGTAATATGTTTTTTACTAGTTTTATCAATATCAATCGAAGAATTTACATCTGCAACATAATAATTTTTCTCCGGTATATCCCAGCCTACTTGAAAGCAATATAGTTTAACAACCCAACATTATTTTAAGTTTTTAATATTTATTAAATTTGGTATGTATAGCATAAACTGTAATATGATATTAATAATATGATAACTTAAACCCATTTTAATTTAAAAATAACCAGCAGTATTAGTAAGAATTGTGTTGGATTGTTTAATAAGATGTAAAAAGAAAATGCATCATGGAATAACAGTACTATGATTATTCTTTAAAAGAGTAAGGAAGATCTCTGGCTTTTTCCATATATCGACTTGGACGAATAAATTCTAAAAAACGTAGTATCAAGTGTAACATTGAAATTGGTAACAATATAGACCAGACGTCGGCACGTAAATAGGAATGTAAAATTTCACCCAAGCTCCGTGATGGCTCTTTTAATATGCTCTCGTATACTTTTTCGGTACGTTGTGTAACATTATTCCAATTGTATAGAGATGCTACGATTTCATTACATTTATGGGGGCATAATATGGCCTCGGAAGAAATAACGTCATCACCAGCATCAAGATTATCATTAACTATGTTATTGGCAATTGCTTTCGTTTGGCAAGAACTAGAATTTTGCATGCTGTTTTTTGTATGGCGCTTTTTTAGTTTTCTGGATAATTTGCCATTCTTTGCGGGATGGTGATCATGAGCGGAAGCATGTGGAGTTTTTGTTTCATTTGATGTGTTCAAATTGCGATGCGTGGTACTTTGTTTGTTGTATCCTTGCAAACGTTTAATTGCCTTCATAATACCCTCATATATGGAATCGACTTCAGGTTTAGTCAATATAATTAAGTTGTCCGGCAAAACTTCGGGTATACCACCAACATTCGTTGACACAACTTGCAGACCACATGAAGCTGCCTCCACAATTGCCATACAATATGCTTCGGTCAATGAGGTATTCAGAAATATGTGACCCTGTACAAGATATTCACGTACTTCGACATGTTCAACGGCCCCAATCATTTGTACACGATCTTGCATATTGGCTTTTTCTCGAATTTCTTCCAACAGTTCTCGTTTCAGGCCATCGCCAACTATAATAAATTTTATATTTGGCATAGATTTGAATCGGGGTATTATGCCCGATAAGAGATCAATTCCTTTGCGATAAACAAGGCGGGAAGCAACAACGATGTTAACTGAAATAAATTATAAACAAACACAATTACTTATACATATTGCTGAGACTACCATATAAGAAAATTTTACGCCTTTGGCTCCTAGGGAAACCCTTACGCCACTTACTTGTATCATCTTGTGGTCTTCTACTAGGATCAGGAGTAAAAAGTGCAGTGTCTACTGCATTTGGTATTACAGAAACTCTTTCCTTAGGTACCCGAGCCCTTAGAACAGTATTTTCTTTCCCTACAGAAGAAGTAGCATTCATTAGCAATGGCAATGAATGAGACATTGCAAAATAAACAAAGATTTACCAATGTGGGAAACACATATACAGTGATCAACACATGTTAGGTCTATTTCCAACATTTTATTGGTGAACACAGCGGATAAATCAGCAAAACCAAACAGGCTATGATCAGTGAAAACAGTCTACAAAAAAACAAAAACTAATTTGGAAGCCAAACATTACATAATTTAAATAAACCACTTACTTTTAATCCCAATAAAGAGCCGACAATCATAGCTTCATGACCCAAAGCAGAAAATGCAGAATGGCCATGGACAATCTCAATTTGTTCCCTTATTAATACGGCCCTTATTAATGGAGCATTGCATATCATTGTTGGTAGTATTGATTGAGCATAGAACACTTTTATAGGCAAATAATATACTTTAAGGCCATTGGTAAGATATCGTATACCCTTGGATTCGCCATAACAATGTGTTAATATAATAACCTATTAAAATTCTAATTAATTTAATCCAATTAAAGTAATTTAAAAACGACCTACCTTATGTCCCCGTTTCAATAAAATCTGTGATAAGTTGAATATATGCTCTTCTACACCACCTATACTGGGGTAAAAGAAGTCCGATGCCATGCTAATAAATAAAATTAAATAATAAATTATATAAAAAACATATGAAGATAATTTCTAAACTTACCATATTCGCATCAAGAATAAAATAAAAACTAAACAAATACGAAAGCCTAGAATGTGTGAAATAAAATTGATACAAGCACCCCTTGGCACCAGCACCCGATGTAAAAGTTGAACAAAGAATGAAAAGAAAATTGTTGATAAAATGTAGGAATCAAAACAAACCGTAAATGTGAGCAGAATTGGGATTTCTAGATCGAAAATGGGTTAAAGGGTTATGGTAATCGATTGTTTGCGTTTTTTTTTTTTGCTAGCAATTATGGAAAAGAGTCTCCTTCACTTATAAGCTGGGAATACATAAAGCGCTTATTTGGCTGGCTTAAGTCATCGGCTGGCTTCTTCGGAAATGAACAAAGGAGCCTAGGGTCAAAATCGAACTAAGTCAATCTAAAACTCCTCTGCTCCTCTACGAAGAAGACAGCCGATGACTTAAGCCAGTCAAATAAGCGCTTTATGTATTCCCAGCTATAGGCTCGGATTTTATGGTAGTTTCATGACATTTTCATTTTATTTAAAACAAAACCATAAATACTTACACAAAATTGGCGGAGGTCGGAGACAAATTGTAACCAGCTGGTAACTTTACCCTACCTTTCGCTTTAACACGATTATTCATATATAAATAAAAACATAAAAAACCAAATATAAATTTTTTCAAATTAGAATTTGTTCAAATTTAATGTGTACGTTCTAGGTATGTCGGCAATGAAATTGGCTAAGATTTCAATATTGCTATCCGATAAAGTAAATTATTAGTGACCGTTAAGTCGGTCACAAAATCTTTACTGGATTTGGTAATCTGCCGGTGTTTTGGTAAAATAAGCTTCTTATGTGTTTAAGCAATAAAAATAGTTTTCTTTATTCAGGTGTTTAGAAATATTTCCATTGTAAATGTTTTCATTTGAAATGTCATTCCTTTACAAAAGTTTCTTTTCAAATTTATTAGGCAACAATTGTAAAACCTGTCGATTTTTCTGGAACATAGGATAAAGAGGTAATGTAAACATGGTATTAAAATGTAAATGAATAAAGCCACATTCATGTTTTTGCAATTTGAGAAATGTTCTCTACACCGAAGTGTTCAACAGCCGACTGTAAAAACTACATCGTGCTTCAATGGATTGCCTCGCATTTGATGAGCTGCCGCCGTCGAGAAAACCAGTCCCCTTGGATGTCTGAAGAGGAATTAAACAAAAAAACAGAAAACAAGAGAGAAACAAAATCAAACAATTTTTGCAAAAAAAGAAATTGAAACCACATAAAATACATAATAAAGTATTGGTATAATTGAAAACGATTTAATGAAACTATTAAAACCAAGTTGGGTGCATCATGACGGTAAGTTGGAAGGAAAATCACAGCGCGCAAAATTATTCATGCTAATGCACCATACTTTTTTCGCCAAACAATGTGCGGCACGGCAAGGCGGCTTGTCGAAATTGTATTGTTATTGCTTGTGCATGTGAGACAATTTCGGTAATTGTTCTTTTAATAGTTGGGATTGTTCTCTTCTCTACAGAAAAACCAATATTTTCAATTGATGTACATCAGGAGTGTCTTAAATTTGCCACCGGTGGCCAAGGTGTGGATTCCGGCCGGGTCGTAATATGGAATTTACTGCCGGTACTCTCCGAAAAGGCCGAAATGGACGAATCTGTGCCGAAAATGCTGTGCCAAATGGACAATCATTTGGCTTGTGTTAATTGTGTGCGCTGGTCGCAAAACGGTTTACTGTTGGCGTCATGTTCAGACGATAAACTTGTAATGATATGGAAACAATTAAAGGTATTGTTTGAAATAATTATGTGAGAAGTTTACAGAAATTAAAAAAAAATAGAGTATGTAGAAGTCGGATGATGCAGGACTCAAAAGTTAGAATTTAAGATTTAAAAATTGCAATGGGGGAGGGGATGAGATAGTTCGGTTTGTCCTGTACAGTACTTATTATTGTGTATGTAGCATATATTTAGGCGCATAAATGCATTCGGAATAATTTCTAATAGAAATAAATATCGGTAATATTAATATATTAATAGCGATAAATTCGTGAAATAAATTGTGGTCCGAGGCACAAACATATTTTTATTTGGACGCAAGAAAGAGTTTCACAATTAAAATATTGTAAACGGATTGGAGAAAGAAATTTGACTTGAACCTTGATTAGTTTGTGGTACCAAAGAGCATCCGACAAATTGAATGCAATAAAAAAGGTATCTTTAAAAATCAAAATCCAAATTTTAGACAATGATTTTAAATGCTTTTTTTCGATTTAAATTTTCGCTTAATTCATTCCCAAATGTATTGTTTCTAATTTAAAAATATATTTCTATTAACTCGTTTTATAAATATTATATTTTATCGATATTTCCATTTTTCTTAATCATTTTAAGGGTCCCAGTGGTGTTTTTGGCACAGGCGGCATACAAAAGAATCCCGAATCTTGGAAGTGCATGTTTACTTTACGAGGACATGCTGGCGACGTACTTGACCTGGCCTGGTCACCTCAAGATCGCTGGTTGGCCAGCTGTAGTGTAGATAATACAATCATTGTATGGGACGCTCAAAATTTTCCCGTTATCATTACTACACTCAGGGGACACACCGGACTGGTCAAAGGTGTTGCCTGGGATCCGGTGTGTAAATTTCTTGCATCGCAAAGTGATGATCGTAGTGTGAAAATATGGAAGACTTGTGATTGGACATGCAGTAATACCATTACAGAACCATTTCAGGAATGCGGTGGAACAACACATATATTACGTTTATCATGGTCACCCGATGGCCAATACTTAGTTTCGGCGCATGCCATTAATGGTGGCGGCCCGACAGCACAAATTATCGAACGTGAAGGTTGGAAGTGTGACAAAGATTTTGTGGGCCATCGGAAAGCGGTAACATGTGTACGCTTTCATACGGCAATCCTCAAACGACAAGCACCGAAATCACAAAAACCCCAACAGTATTGTTGTCTCGCAGTGGGTTCACGTGATCGCTCATTGTCCGTATGGATGACAGCATTGCAACGGCCTTTGGTTGTGATACATGAGTTATTCAACGACAGCATATTGGATTTGTCGTGGGGCCCGGAAAAATACATACTTATGGCATGTAGTGGTGATGGCACGGTAGCTTGTCTTCAATTTTCTGAAAATGAACTGGGTACACCGCTCTCCGAAGATGATCGGAATGCACTGTATCAACGTATTTATGGAAAAAGTGCAGCAAATCTTACAAATGGCTCCACCACAGCTAACGATATGCTAATTGAAAATCCTGAATTAATTTTATATAGTCAAAATAAACCTAAACCTCCAACACTGCCAACAATGCAACTGACCAATAGTTATAACAGCAATAATAATTTTATAGAATCCACGGGAACACTGCCATCATCAAATGGTTTCGGTACTCATGATGGTCGAAGCATATTTTCACAAAACTCTTCTGCAACTGCACCACAGACAACGCCTGTGAAAGCAATTAGTAAACAAATGGAGACACGTACAAAAGATGGTAAACGGCGTATAACACCCATGTTTATACCGCTAAATACTGAAAACGAAGGTGCATTAAATCCTCCCAATAGCTTTCAGTCTTCTTCGGTGCCGGGAAGCGATGCAAGTTCTGCTTTTCCAGTAGCCACATCACAATCGGTGGAAACAACAACGAATAACATTGTAGGTAATGATGTCAGTAAGGAGAATATACCACAAACGGCTAAAGTTTCTGGATCGGAAGAATCTGGGTATGATATTAGACCTTTCTAAATTATTTATTTTCGATTTCGAATTTCATCTATTTTTCTTTTCAGTCGTTTAGATCCAAGATTGGTAAAGAGCAATGTAAAACAACCGCCCGAACCTTTCTCCGTGAAACAAGATTCATTTCGGGAATTCCCACATTTCAAAAGAACACCACAATATTTTTCATCGCCAAAAGACACATCGAAAGTTTATATGGCCTCGACAGCGGGTCCAAAGATAAAAATAACTGAATCATCTAAATGTGAATTTCAAAAGACTGCTATGGACTATCGTGTCCACGTAGCCAATGGGGCGGTACAGACAGCAACTGGTCCATTGGCCAGGGTAACTGCCATACGCTTAGTCTCAGGCAAACTTTGGGAGACATTTGTGGGTAAGTTTTAAGTCGATTGAAAGCAAGATAAATAAAAAATTGTAATTGATTTTTATTCTGTGTTCTAGGGTCACCTATTGTTAATTTTAATTTTTGTTTAAAGTGTGTAATGTTGTGCAGCTTGGATGGTTCTATGCGTTTAATGGATTTAATGAATGGTAATCCATTAATGCCGGTCATAACCTTGAGTTCCCCTGCCATACAATGTGCCTTTGTAAGTTCTAATTTGGGCCAGTAGGGGAGAAGACATTATTACAAAATTGTAACAGAAAATAATAGGATTTTAAAATTAATTTTTATTCAAATTTCTTCGCTGTACAATGTTTGTAATTTTAAATAACTTATTTTTATATTCTACAGTCCCCCAAGGGTACCTTAGTTGGAGTTGTAACCGAATGTGGTTTATTGCGTATTTGGAACATTGAGAAATGCACATGCATTTTGTCAACTACATGTTCAGATATTTTCGGAAAACATGGAGCTATATATCAATATACCATCACCGAAAATGGTGTACCTCTAATTATCTTCTCCAATGGCAATGCATATTCGTATTCACCACAAATGCAAGCTTGGTTGGTTGTGAGTGCAAAAGATCCGATAACACGACACGGTGTTAAAAATTCTGTGCCAAAAGATTTTCCTAAAGACTATCAGGATTTCCCGTTGATGTCAGTACAAGCCAGTACGAATTTCTTTACCACAACTAGTGCTGGCATAGAGCTGTAAGTATATGTTCAAATTTTAATGATATCGGAAAGATATTAAATGGAAATTTTCTTTCACAGCAATGCCAATGATTGGCAATCAACTGCCAAGATCACATTTGCCGAAAATCAAATAAAACTTTGTGAAATGATAAAATCTCCCGAAGAGCTGAAATTTTGGTATAGCATGTTGGTATTCTATTTGGCAGCACATGGAAATGAGAAAAGGTTACGAGACCTATTAAATGATTTATTGGGCAGCGGTAGACCCACCCCTGGCCAGGAGGCAAAGATATTGGTAAGTTTAGACAAGACAATTTAATCAATCAATCAATTGATAATATCCCTCTGTGAAAACATGGGATTTCTAATTGGGCCATGAAAATTAAAGTAAATTTTTTAGTTTAGAATAAAAACATGTCATAAAAAGAATACCATTTTCTATTTGTTTTTATATATGTTATTTAATTTGGCTTTTATCTTTATTAGAATATCCCCAAGCATTCAATATTGGAGGCAACACTGGAGCAAATAAAACTTCTTCCAAGATGGCAGCGTATTTATATGGAATATAATGAATTATATCAAGATATAAAAACATTTAAACGAGAAGAAGTAGAAGTCACGAACAGAAGAAGTCCCTTTAACAGTGGAAATAGCGATGAGTGTGAAGCGTCTTTATCGCCATCACAAACAATATCATCAAAGCCGCCACCTCCAATACCATCTAGCACATCTTCGTCAAACCATTGTTTAGCAAATAAAACAAATGAGTGTACTACAGCGTCTGTTACAATTCCGGCCGATGATATTGACAACAAAGGTGGAGAACAACCACAACATATGGATGTTGCCTAACCATACTATTCCAATGTATATTGCAAGTCATTGCCAAAATTCAAGTCTGCTCAGCAGTAGTAAGTCTCTATCCTCTTCTCCTTTCCAATTCAATTTTGTATTGTTAGCATCCTGTACTTTAATGTAATTCTCTTTTAGAAGCTAAGCTTTATTTGTGTTTCCCTGTTTAGTAATTATTTTGTACTCTAAATTTATAAATATTCTCAACACATTTTCCTTTTTCCATTCTCCCACCAAACTCCACTAGTTTCTCATATACATGCATATATAAATAGGTATTTATTTCATTTTTTTTTTTTTTTTTCAAATATATTAAATTATTTCCAATTTGTGTTAGTTTAAGCACTGAAATTAAATGACCGGGTGATCATTAAATGAAATGAATTTTCTAAAAATTAAAAAAAGAACGATACCTTAGTTTCACAAAAACCCTATTAAGTCTAAGTTAATAAAAGACTTTATTTGTATAAGTGGTTAAGAAAAAAAAAACATTTTTTGTTAATCAAGAAATATTACAATTAAGAAATACAGCTTAAAAACATGGTCAACATATTTGTTTAAGAAAAGTAAAGAAATGCTTTGTGAAAATTAATAAAATAGTCCTCATTTCTGCATTCGTTTTGATTTTATTTACAAACATTGTTATCTAAATTGATGGTGATCGAGTGATAGTAACGATAGTTTAAAGAAAGATAATTTATAAAATGTCTATTTTCATGGCTTTTGTAAGGAAATGTCCTAACCACTTCACAGCAATTTCATGCTCTTTCGAAATTTGTATCAAAATTGTAGATTTAGGGAGCACATTGGAGCTAATAAGTCCTTAACATTTGAACCTTCTATCCTTTTCGACCAAGCAATACTATCTCAATCTTTATCAAAAGAGTTGTTACAACAAGTCAATTCGGCCAGTTCTGCATCAATAGAGCAACCGCCACAAATGTTCCTCTAATTTTTCCACATCTTCAATCGACAGTGTGAGTTTAAAAAACTGCAACAAAGTCAAACGCCATAATTTTTACATTTTTTTTTAAATTTTATTGAATGAAAGCAAAAAATGTCGGAAATAGCATAAAATTTTATAATAAGTTTAGATTTGTTCGAATTTGCCACAAATGGCACGAATTATACCCTTCAAACGGCCTCTGAAAACGTCAAACGCTGCCCGAATGTTGCTTGCGGTATTTTGGCCAATTCCCGGCGAAGCGCTTGCTTGAGGTAATCAAAAGTTTGATATGCCAACCTTGCTTTCCAAAATACTCCAGACACAATAGTCAACGGATTCGTATCCGGAGATTTTGGGGCCATTGTGCGCTGGAAATGAAGCGAGGAAACTCATTTTGTAAACATTTTGGGTGACGCATGCTGAGTGCGATGGTTGTGAGTCCTGTTGGAATGTCCAAGGTCTGCATGCCCAAGGCAGTTCACCACTTTCGGCCAAGCAAAGCAACTCTTTAGCATTTTTGAGTCTTTTTTCTTTCTGTTGCGGTGTAAGTTCTTGCACTTTTTGGAAATGGCTTTACCCCGAGCTCATTTTTCAATATTTGCCGAATGGAATATTGCGATATGTTCAGCTCACGGCCACTGCAACGCGGGTTTCGATCAAGTTGTTTCTTTACTTTTCGAACCAGTTCTGCTGATGTTGTTCCGTTGTTGTTGTTGTTCCGTCCACTTCCTTGACTTCGGGCTGCGCTAGTATCACGGTAACGAGCGATGGTATGAGACACAAAAGAATTATTCACATTTAAATGCTGGAGTGCTCTAACGATAGCCACTTGTGGTTTTCCAGCCAGATATAAAGAAATCACACCATCACGTTTGAATTCCATCACGAATAACTTTTTTCTAAAAAATTCGTTTGGTATGCTTGTAAACAATATAATGAACTGTCACTGGAATAATATTAACAGCTGTCGGACGAGTGGCTTATTAGAAATGACAGCAGTCTGAAGTTGATGCGGTTTTTTCATCTCATCCTGTTATCCATTAATGTTTTTCCGCATTTTTACCATTTCTTTACAGACCTTCAATATCCCGATTTTTTATTCCAGTACACAAGAAAACCCAAAAAAAAAAAAATAATTACGTTTGATTAAAATTTCCCTGGATTCCCTTCAAATAGTCCCCATGAAACCCGCCTTGTCTTTTCACTACTACTCTTGTAATCTAAAAATAATTTTAATGTAATCAGTAGTTTATAGAATTATGAAAAATAAATAAATTAATTAATACTTTACACATACGCACATATTACGATTACAAAAAAAAAAAAAAAAACGCCATGAATTTTATTTTCCGAAACTTACATTACCTATTACTATAACCATACTTAATCGAATATGGGTTTATTGCATATAATGTGGACCCGGTGTGGGTACACTTTTCAGCGGTGAATCAAAATCAACTTCGGCTTGTTCGGGTGGACATTCTTGAGCTGTGCGTTCTTGCAGGGTTTCATATAGCTTGTGTACGGCTTCATTGTGACCCGTGGTCGGTTGCATAGCTTTCATTAATGTGGCCAAACGACCGGGTGGCAATTTATTATGGACGTACCTTAAATTGAATACAATGGAGAATTCCAAATTAGTTTTATTTACTTCAAAATACAATGCATCATTCTTACTTACCACAACAACTTGATCATATGCCTTGTCACATTGTCCCGTGTCAGGCCAGCAAATAGGAATTCATCGAATAGTGTCGTACAAAAATCTTCTGTAGTAAATTCCTCTGCCATAGGTATAAGTAAAGCAATCTAGGCAATAAAAGAAAAACCTTAATTAGTATATGCAACTTAGTTTATATTGCCAATTCGATGCTCACCAAAGAATGTAAAAACGGATCTTCATAGGACCGATCATCTTTGCACGAAGACAATATAGCCAATACTCTTAAAACACCAACACGATCCTTTTGGCGGGCTGTATTCAAAGTGTAATACATAGCCAATATGCTGGCTACCGAACTCTCTTGAATGTAGGCCTCCACAGCATCAGGTGCTGGTCCCGAATGTTCTATGGTTGTCAAAGCCGATTCACGTTCATCCGGTGGCAACTTTGAGTGTAAACTACGACACTGATCATCCACCATTAGTGACATAAGCGCAGGTAAGAACTTAGTGACTACTTGTGAATCAAGTTTGGGTTCTTTAAAGTCCTGCGAGTCGATCATTACCCATGCACTCAGGCCCAAAGCTAACATGCGAAGCAATAATATGAGAATGGTGTTTTCACGTGGCAGACCCTCATTGTTAATCAGATGTTGCAATATTTTTATGGCCGAGGTGGCGAGAAAGTTGATCGCATATGGATCACACAGTGTCATGGAAAGATCACCCAACACCTGTTCTTGGCCACGCTTTATATTATCCAAAAACCCTTGCAATTCACGTGATCGTTTAATGTCAACATTTTTCTCACGTATACAAGCATCCAGACACCAGGTGAATTTATGGCATGGATCCACAGATATAATCTCCTGAACATCAAGTTCATGCAAAGCCATTAGAAGTTCAGCTCTTAGGGTACAGTAATGAACATTACGTGTTCTCAAGAATAACGTACGCAAAAACTGTAAGACCATATCGTACAGTTTAACGCTACGACCAATCATATTGGCCAATTTCTGGACCACTTCACCCTGGCGTCTTACTTTGGGCGATGGATGAAAGAATAGATTATTGAGATTTGTATGATCAAAAGAATATGCTCCTTCTCTCTGATGTACTGCGATAGTAGTGGCGAAACTTCGTCACCAAATAGGGATTGATTGTCACGCCATATCTGCCGTTTAACCTCGGTATCTGTGTCTGCATACAACTCTCGATCTCTTACCAAAATACGCAAATATTTATCATCAATGTGGGGAGTGTTACGCAAAATTGCCATAACCACAGGCCGCAAGGCTTTTACCCGTACCACAGGGAAACTTTTAATCAACAACTCCTTGAGTTTCTTATCGCGTTCGCGGGGATCCTTTTGGCCCAGTTCGTTAATGTGAGCTATTAGCTTATCGCGTAACTCCTCCATAAGGGATGTATGAAAATCCAAACGCCGTACACCATGTAAATCCAGTAGAGGCAGCATTGGTCTTAACGATGGCAGTAATACCCCATTTTCCAACTGCACAAATAGTATATTAATATTAAATGTTTGTTTACATGGCATGATGTAGTTGTTTTTATTGCATTTACCTGAAAACTTTCTATGGCTTTTAGGGGATCCGTACACGACGTAAGGGCTTCCCGCAAATACGCCTGACCAGGAATGTTGACTTCTTCCAAACCCGTACCGGTAAATTTGGGAGGTGGTTGTGCCATTGTTTAAAATGGTTTAAAGAGTTTATTAGTTTATTGAATGGAATGAATTAACTGAATTAACAATTTAACAAACCGACGCCACCGAGGAAAGAAAAAAGTAAAGTTATGGCAACACTGGAAAGAAAGACAGTACAGAAAGAAAGTCTGAATAAAGATGTGGAATCAAAACAGAACGGCTAACAACATATGTTGTACAACACATTCACCAAAAAGAGCACGGAACGAGTATCAGGATAGGTAAGTCGACTTTCGATTAATCGAATAATCGACTTTTGGTACTCAAAGTTCTGAAACTCGAACTCGGCTATGGACTTGTGTAAAAACCGAGTACGCGACTATTCATAGTCGATTTGTACGAAAGTACATGAAATTAGCATTAATAAGAATAATAGAATAATTTATTGTTTTTCCTCTAAAGATTTATTTTATCTTTCATTTAACAATTTTCATTTTTACAATTGATAAATCTATTCCAGACAACGCAGCAAAACGATATTTATTGGCGGCGGCTCATATGGTGTAAACCAACCGGAGTCGCGCTGTTCATTTGAAGGCGGCGGCAAAATTTCGAAGCGGGAGGTAATAATTGACTTAGTTTAATATTTATTAATTAAATATTAATTCTACTTATTTCAATTGAACATTAATTTATATTATGGTATGTTTAAATTTGCAACAATAGTTGCAATTTGTTACTGAAAGTGGTCTGTTAACCAAAAGTTCTGCAAAAGAGAGCGAATTGAGAGAGCCGCTTTGAGTATAATTTTACTGAGAGTTTGCAAATTCTTGTCGATCAAATTTCTCCTTAATTCTTTTGTTTTATGTAGAAAAAGGTCGCAAAGTCAGCAATTCTTACATTTTTGCTATTTTAATTTTATGAAATACAAATGCTAAAGTCATTTCAAATAAGACTATCAATGGTCCAATAATTAGGTCGTGTAAAGGGCGAATTGCCTAAAAACAACTGATTTACTCCTTCGAACTGTCAAAATTTATTTTGAAGCAAAAAATATTTCGCCTTCGTTCTTCTTCTTTTTGTGGCGAATTGCAAACAAACGTAAACATAGCACGATTTTTATTTCCCAAAATCAATAATTGTATTTTTGTTATGTTGTTAGTTTATTTTTATTTTATAATTCATTAGATATTTAAAACCTACATCACTTCGTGGAACAGGGTATCATGTGCATTTTTTTGTAAAATTTTAAAATCGAATGGTTCCGACTTAAATATGCAAATTCTTGGTGTCAATAACATAGGCCTGCTATTCAGGATGCACAATGGAACGGCCCACATATCTGACTTCGTATTGACCTGGAGAATGAATAGAGCAAACAGAGAAATGTAAATCCCTTTTGTGCCTGGATAAGGTTTGGTTTTAAATCAGCATATACTATATATATATATATATTATTTAATGCAAGTTGATACACATTATTGGCCTTGGAGGCTTTGTATCACAAATGAATTGAAATATATAAATAAAATAAATATACTGTTGGAGAAAAAAAGAAATATCTCACATTCATTTTATAAATTTACAATTCCATTCAAACTATTTTTTTGCAAATCTTGCAGACTTTCATTTTTGCTTGTAATATTTTAAAATCACGAGAAAACAATTGTGCAGAATTAGAAAATCGAATTTGAATTGTGTATACCAATATTCTCAGCATAAAAAAATTCTTTAATTACAGTTTGTCATATTTTGCAGCGAATTCCAGATAATATTTAAGTGATTTCTATGCCAAACCTAGGAAATTATTGTATTCTCTTTTCTGCGGCATTACGTCGAATTTAGATATTCGTTCCATATTGTTTTCTGGGTATTAACAATTATCGAATGATATTTTTTACTCTTCGTCTGTCTAATTCAACCGTTTTTTAATTATTCCCCATCATGGTAGAATTAATTTTGAATAATAATAATTTCTGCATTTTCTGAAATTTACCTAGGCAAAATTAACTTCTTTGAACACTGTTTCCATCCTTAACATGTGTATATACAGTAGATTTAAAAAATATACATTTCGGCAATTGAAGTCTAATAAAGGATGAATTAAAAAAAACATTATCTAACACAAGTTTACCTTCTTTATTCTACGAGGCCCCCTCTCTCTCATATATTTGGACACCTATGCTTTTAATGCAAACGAATGATAACATGATCTATTACAAAATGGTCAGCTGTTGCATTTGTCGTACGTCAGCCATTTAGAAGTAACTCAACAAAATAGTTCTCTGTGGGACGATAACATTTTATACATAAAAAGGTGAAAATTTAACAAAATCTGTAAAAAATTCAAACATTTGCAATAAAAAATTTCCCCAAACAATATACAGATATATTATATGGTCTGCCAGTGGATGTACCACCAAACAATCAATGCTTGAACTTGAATTCAAAATAAAACGAGCGGAAATACAAAACTCGTACAAATTGAAATCGAAAACTAAGAGGGCCACGAAGGAGCGAGTAAATGCATGAATGTTGCTGAATATGGAGCAAATAAAGATAGAAAACAACGGTCATCCACAGAGTAAGTGTGTGTAATTATTGAAATTTGGCAATTGAAAGGTAAAGACCTGAAGATGATGTTTTTCGGGCCAGATTGTTTGGATTAAAAATTTCGGTGGTTAATATATTACAGCGATTTGATTGTTCATCTTATTGTGATATCCATCCGGAACGAGTTAGCAAGGCGGTGTTAATGGTCATTGATTCTATAAATTTAAAAATATGATGCAAAATTTGAAATTGTTAATTAGTGTTTTTACTAATTTCGTGGGAACTATGTTGCCAATTTTTCGGTAAGGGGTTTATATGCTCGTAGAGGTTGCATTACGACTAAAATGAATGGAAAGATAATACATTCTCTTATTATTTAAAATTCTTATTATGAGGAAATTATCAAAACGTAGTCATAAACTGACCACTTTTGCAAAGATACCCAAATCTGGCGGTACCTAACATGTTAAAATCCTAAAAATACCCAAAGATAGAGAGGTATAGGGACATTACATATTATTTGATTTTCATATAATTGCAAAACGCAGCATTAAAATGTATATTATTTTTTTATTATTTGCAGAGAGGAGACGATACCAAAAAGATTCGTCCTCCACAGATGACATTGTTACAACGTTGATACATTTGGTGCGACAAAATCCAGTTCTATACAATTATAAATTACAACCAAATCAACGAAGACGTAGTGATATTTTAAATGGCTGGGCGCAAATTGCAGCCGCCATTGGAAGTAAGTGCTTTAAACGTAGTTTCAGCTACTTGACAACAATTCATTACAAGTGTCTTGTGCATGTTTTGAAATCTACGTATTCCCAAAAATGTATCCATTCAATTAAATTTCTTTTTTTTTTGCATTTCAGATCGATATTCCGTTGAAGAGTGTCGTCGAAAATGGAAGAATCTACGCGATACCTATCACCAGTATCGTCTACGAAAATCCAAAATAGGCGATGGCCTATCGAAATGGCGATATGCCAAAGATATGGAATTTCTTTCGAATGTCTATCAGCCCAAATTGAAATCGAATCGTACACAAAATTTCAACACAACCACAACCCAAGATAATCTACTGCACAGTGTGTCGGAGAGTAATGATGAACACGATCAAGTGGTACACCAGGATATGGTACATTCTAGCATAATTTCGGTAAATGATGCCGACACTTTTATACTGACCTCATACGAGGATGTGACACACGATAACGATGTGACCCATGAAGATCACAATATGTCACACAATGAGCTGAATCATGACAATAATAGTATAGAAAATTGTGTGGAAATAGTTAAACATGAACAGCACACAAATTTAGATGACGATGGCAATACTGCGGCCGAGGTCGACTATGAGGAGGTGTGTTTGTATGAAGAATCTGGCAATACGCCTAGCGTGGATTGTGAGACAATCATTGGAGCTCCGGTAACGAATTCCGCCAACTCGGATGATACAAAATTTCAATATATCGATACAAATGATTTTTGTATAGGCTCAATGAATCCAACACGTTCACAATACTCGAGTAGTGCCAGCAGTGTTATTGGAGCATCTGGTACAATAAAATTGAAAAGCTTGCCCATGGTGAGTTCATCTTCGGCATCAATGGTTCCAACTTCATCAAATAATACGCTGGATACGTCGCCAACATGTGTTACCATACCAGCCATGCAACATATGGAGCAATTGCCGGAATTAACACCGGTTGTGACTAGCTCGACGAAAACAGCAACAGCTAATACCCCGGCAACTGTAATGGTTAAGACCGACCCGAACCCGACCTTATTGGCGGCATCGACAAATTCATCAAATACTCACAATGGTAACAACAACAACCAAAACCATCAGTCGTCACATCAGCAACAACATCACTCCCATCCGCCCACATACTCAAATAATGCGACACATGTCCATAATTCATCGACCAACAATAACGGCACTAATATGGGAACAATATCCATTGCAACTACGACCATGTCCGCCGGACCCACATGTATGGTAGCAGCCGATTATTGTAATCACCAACGAGAGGAGTGTGATTTATTTTTTGATTTCCTTAAAAAGAAAATACAACGTTTTCCACCTGAAGAGATAACATCGATACAGGTGGAATTCCTCAATTGTGTTTTACGCCGAGAGGCTGAACATGCCCAGAAAATAGCACACCAACAACAACACCATCATCAGCAGCAGCAACAACAACAGCATAATATGAAATGAATGTGCTGAACATTTTGTGGCCTGTCTTATTTAATTTATATCAAGTATGACCCCAAACACCACACATACACACCCACCCAACCCGCCATCCTTAAAGGTTTCGATCGATAGCAGATGTTATGTCCTTTACATATTACGTACAGTATATGTTTAAGTTTAGTGTAATTTAGTTAATAGGTTAATATAGTGTATCAATTATTTAATAAATAAATTATCTAATTGAAATTGAATGTTTGTTTAATCTTTTTGCAAGAATTGCAATGGAAATGTGCACAAAATATTATTATTGCCCAAACTTTCGCAGAGTTTTTTGGGAAATCAAGTCTTCCCTACATCTGCGATGTGACTTCCAGTTTTGTTTACAAATAATTGGATCTTGTCAGCCAGATTAAATTTCTATTCGAAAATGAATAAAATGACCAAATTATCAGCTAATCACATTCATAAAAAGTTTATTTCTTTATGGCAATTGACTAAAAACAATTTCAAAATTTCATCATTTCAGAATAGTCACACGAAACACATATGTATAGCTGCAATAGATTTCATTTCCAATTAACAACATAAGTATAAACACAAAAATGCAAATGTATGCAGCATGAATCTTGTAATGAAATACTTTGTAAAAGTGCTATTAAATTATCGAACACGATACTGTTGATTTTAGTATTGAGGAACACAAAATTGACTTAATATTTGGCAAAAAATAACTAATTAAACAATATACAATTTTAAGTTTTACGATGTTAAGAGATTAAAAAGAAACAAAACAATGAGTAATTAGGCAAATATGCTTGGACAGACGATGAGGCATAATAGAAATTATGAACTAGAACTTAAGGATTTAATACGATCTGTGTTGAAATAAATAACTGTTATGGTGATGTCATCTCGATAATAGCGCACAGCATCCTGAGGTAGAGAAAGATAGTAGGAAATTTTCGAATGTTCAACACCATAATCGGTGCCGCCCAAAGCATGACGTATGAGATGCGTTGCGGAATTTTGATCCAAAGGTTTGCGTTTGCGGCCAGCCCTAAAAGACAATAAACATTTTTAATATGCCATACAAATAATACCGGAAACCTACTTTCTCTCAGCCAACATATCTGATATGGACTGTAACGTCACATCATTTTCGGGCAATTTAATTGGTTCCATTATCCTCTTTGAATTTAAATGTTCCGCCACAAGTTTAACCACTTGTGATGGAGACAGAAAATCCCATAAACCATCACTACCGATCACAACAAATTTGTCATTCACCGTTAGACGATGATGATGTACATCAGGTCGCGCCGTTAAATATGGTGGTGTATGATAATTGGGTGGCACAAAATGGTCCCCAAACAAGGGTACAACATATTTGTTCATAATTTCGGTGGACCATTTATAGCGAAAATCTCCTAAAGCCCGCAATGGGGCCAGCTGACCCAGCAAACGATCATTACGTATTGCTGTTTCACTTTCCTCTTTGGGATGTTCGGATAAAATTCTTTGTACTTCTTGGAGGTTATCGGTGTTATGTTCATTGTTTAGTTTCTTTGATGTCCATTGACCGGTTTCGGGGCAATGTGATCCCAGAACTGCGGTGCAATCTCCTGTGCTTGCCAAATGCAGGTCGAGATCTTCAACGTGGGCAACCGCACAAACAGCACCTGAGAGAAGAAAATAACATTAAACATTGGAAACCTCATCATAATAATGCCAAAGCTTTTGCCGACCTACCTGACATTGCCACAGCCATTGTCATCATGCTTGTCTTATTTAAAGCCTCATCTGACATGTGCTTATCCAATAGCATAAAAGCTTCTTCTATGGCCTGAGAACGATCGGTTGGATCCCGACTGGATAATGTGTCCACATATTTGGCAAAGCTCTCTTCATAAATGTCTTTGATTTCTTTTACGAAATCCACCTGGAAAAGCAGGGCGAGATACAAAATAAAAACCATATATATGTTATAGCAGTCAAAACCTGAATTATTGTTAATTCTACGATTTTGAGTTTTTTTATGAATGATATGAAGCAGTGGTGCGACACTGCATAACTCAGTCTATCAATTCAAATATAAATGTCCAATTGGAAATAATTATTATATTTTTATAAAACACAAATCGAACTCCTGAGTCGTAAAGTAGTGGTAATAGAATTGGGCTATCATACCTTATCATTATGGCACTTCAAAAACGATTGGCTGTTGCAACCTCTTTCAATTTGTTCTTTTAAAATCTTACGATCTACTAATGAGGCGGCTATGTAGCGTAACAAACGTTTACTAATGACCTGAGAACAGGCAGGACCAGCATGACCATCAAAGACACCACAAATGAAACCTACAAAAACAACTTTTTTAGCAATTCTTAACTGACAGCAGCATCAACAAACCACTTACCTGGCTTATGATTAAAACTGGCTTCTGTTCGGGTATCTTCACAGGGAGAATTGGAGGCCAATTGATTTGATTCATAACTCAAAATAGTACTTTTTTCATCGGTGAATGTGTAAACAAATTCATTTTCTCTTAACATCATATTAACCTTAATTCCGGAAGAAGGAAATACAATAGAATTTACTAAGTAAACAAGTCATTGGCAAGTTGTTGTTCCTGATAGTTTTCATTTTTCGTACTCACATCGTATGGCGACAAATGTGGAAGTTGATTGCAGCGTTTTTGTGAGGTAATGTGCAAGTTTCGTGAAATAATACCAGCTTCATTTCCAAGCCTGATGGAAGTTCTTTGTCGGACATTGGCGACATTGCGTAGAAATATTGTTAACATCTAAAAAATTATGGAAAATGATCTAATTCTGTTGGTTTTTTTCTATTCGATTTTCTTTGCAAAAGCGAGAGGGGGTGGTTTGCACTTCTTCAGGGTTCTTTTTTCAATGAAATGTTATTGCGTTGCCTATTATTTCTTGGTCAATTGCAGCATTAATATATTTACTTATAAATATACGTATTTATATATGTACTTTTATTGTTATTTATCTTTTTTCACGGACTTTTATTTTTTTTACAATTATCACCGAAAAAAGATCAAAACTGCACTTGTCTATCTGAGGGATGTCATTTGAATAGCTGACATTTGACATTTCTGTTAGGTGGCTTGGCGACAGTGTGTCTTTGTAACAAAATTGTATTTCATATAATGCTATGTTCTCATTGCACTTTCAATCATGTTGTTCGCTCTCAGAATTAGTTACACGAATTAACCCGTTCATACGGCACGATTCGAAGTTCAGAGTAAAATAATTCCTTTTTCAAAAATTTTATTCCTTGATTTTAATGCGAATTTAAATGAAAATACAAGAATTTCTCATTAATATGAATTGAAGAAATTATTGTTTTTCTTCCAAAGATTTATTATATCGTTAATTTTACAATTTTCATTCATGTTTTCAACTTTTTGTGTAAATGTTGACATATTTTTGTATTTGTCTATTTTTAAATTCTGCTGGAGAGACACTTGTCAAAAATTTTTTCTGCCGATACAAACACTTTGAAAATATTGCCCCTTTTGTTTCCAGTTTTCTGTTGAAATTTCAACTTGTGGAAAATTTACTTAATAGTACGTTTATATATATGAGTGTTAACCCACTGGATTTGGATTTAAATTGTCATATCCATTACTTTTACTTCAAATAAATCCTCTCAAAGAAGGTTAACCCTACAAAAAGTTCTAACGTAAACATGGCATAAGTTTGAATGTACATACTCCATTCAGCATTGTAGTTTTCATTCATAATTTTCAGTCCTCCCAAATGTTTTTAAAATTTCATTAAATTTTTCTATTTTTAATTTTTAAATTTCATAATTTATTTTTTCGATAAATGCTCTATTTTTTAGGGATGGCACACGTTTCATCTTAGTTCTAAGAGTAATTTGAATGGAACAAAGAACAAAAATCTTTGTTCGCTCAGCAAACTTTGTGTGGACAATTAAGTAGATATTTCTTAATAAATGTTCGAACAAGGAATAGAGGGCGAATCACATGTCATGTAAACTTAGTATAACTGTAGACAACATTTCTCACATGGTAGAAGAATATAGGTAGACGCGTCGACACAGCTGCTGGGACAATGAACTGTCAAACCAATTTTGGAATTGAAAATGTTGAATGAAAAATTATTTATATTTGTAAAAATTGTTGAAAAACGAGAATTCTAATAGCCTCCGTACAAAGGAGTTTTAAGCTGGGAATACATAAAACGCTTATTTGGCTGGCTTAAGTCATCGGCTGGCTTCTTCGGAAATGAACAAAGGAGCCTAGGGCCAAAATCGAACTGGGTCAACCTAAAACTCCTTTGTTCATCTACGAAGAAGCCAGACTTTATGTATTTCCAGCCTTATGCTAGGAACACAATTGGAGCGAACGACGAATTTTTTCGCGGCGTATGTTCGTCGTCAAAAATAAAACACATATGTGTATATGGAAGTGCACACAATCACGGCACCGGCGAAAATTTCGTCGGTCGCCGCGAACTCAATTAGCTTTATTTCTATTTCATACGCCGGCGACCGGCGAACAAAATGTGGCCATACTTGTACGAATTTTATGTGTTTTAGTAAATAAAGTTACTTTTTACTTTAAAATTTGTTATGGTCACTCTACTATCTGTTACTCGTATAAAAAAAACATAATTAATTTGTTTATTTATTTGTGTACTTGCGCCTGAGTGAAGATGGATATCAGTGAATTTATAATAGAGAAGATGGACATAAGTGAAATTATAATAGAGAACGTAAAGAATTATGTGTTCTTGTATAATCCATTGTAGTCAACAAATGAGAAAAAAGTAAACAACTTCATCAGCTGTTTTATAATTTCGTCGGTATTGTGTTCCATACGACGAATTTTCGCGGCTCATTCTGTCGCCGCGTAGGGCGAAATTCGTCGTTCGCTCCAATTGTGTTCCTAGCATTAGGTTGTCCTAGTTCTATTTTAGCCTTACGCTCCTTTGTTCTTTTCTAAAGAAGCCAGCCGATGACTTACGCCAGTCAACTAAAGCTAGGAACACAATTGGAGCGAACGACGAATTTCGCCCTACGCGACGACAAAATGAGCCGCGAAAATTCGTCGTATGGAACACAATACCGACGAAATTATAAAACAGCTGATGAAGTTGTTTACTTTTTGCTCATTTGTTGACTACAATGAATTATACAAGAACACATAATTCTTTACGTTCTCTATTATAATTTCACTTATGTCCATCTTCTCTATTATAAATTCACTGATATCCATCTTCACTCAGGCGCAAGTACACAAATAAATAAACAAATTAATTATGTTTTTTTATACGAGTAACAGATAGTAGAGTGACCATAACAAATTTTAAAGTAAAAAGTAACTTTATTTACTAAAACACATAAAATTCGTACAAGTATGGCCACCTTGTACTGTTTTGTTCGCCGGTCGCCGGCGTATGAAATAGAAATAAAGCTAATTGAGTTCGCGGCGACCGACGAAATTTTCGCCGGTGCCGTGATTGTGTGCACTTCCATATACACATATGTGTTTTATTTTTGACGACGAACATACGCCGCGAAAAAATTCGTCGTTCGCTCCAATTGTGTTCCTAGCATAAGGCTGCAAATACATAAAAAGCTTGAAGTCTTGGCTAGGCATATTAATGCCAAATTATAATGAAAGACGACGGCAGGATTTTACTGCGGCTCTGTAATTCTTTTCTGAAATGTCACAAAATAGGCCGTGCCATGACTTCAAGCTTCTTATGTACTTAGCCCTTAAGCGTTTTATTCAAATAAGTTTTCCGTTGGCATGTAGAAGTCACGCGGGATTTAAAACAAATCCGGTCGTTAAAAGCTATAATTTTGTATGGTGCATCTGGTCGAATAAATCCGGATTAAGCAATAAATCCAGAAAATGTGGGTGAATCCGAATACCATTTTACCAAATCCTATGACAGGATTTATTTTAAATCTGGTTTGGAGTCTACATACCATGGTAGAAGAATATAGGTAGATGCATCAACGCTTTTAAACATTGATATGTCAAAATTTTTAAAATGTTTTATGAAAAATAAGCGGATTTTTTAATGTTTTTTATACGACGCAAATCAGAGGTTGTTATAATATGAATTTTTCAACAATTATTACAAATTTTAATAATTTTTCATTCAACATTTTCAATTCCAAAATCGGTTTGACAGTTCATTGTCCCAGCACAGGTCCCAGAATACAGGTAGTCGCATCGACACAGCTGCTGGGACAATAAACTGGCAAACCGATTTTGGAATTGAAAATATTGAATGAAAAATTATTGAAATTTGTAAAAATGGTTGAAAAATACATACCATAACAACCTCCGATTTGCGTGGCATAAGAAAAAATAAAAAAAATTTACTTATTTTCGACAATATATTTTAAAAAATTTGACATATCAATGTTCCCAAGCGTTGATGCATCTGCCTGAATTTTTCGCCATGCCTATATTTCTTTCGAAATTTAATTACCTTTCTGACATGGCAGATGAAGGTGTTATTAACAGAGGGGATTTTAAAAGTTTGTTTAGATAATTTAAAATCCTTGTTATTTAAAAGTTAAAATTAGCCATATTTTCATTAGAAACACTAAAAAAATAATTGAGTGAACAGGGCTATCACTACTTTGAACAGTATTATCGACTGTTTTGCCATCATTTACATCACCTATTATTTGTAAAAGACTAATTGGAATTTTGGTTGACATTATGCCTATCGAATAAAAATACGTTCCAAATGTCAGGAGTGTCGTCGTCAGTCAGTGGCAACAAATTGGAGTAGTGAAGTATTTGTGAAAATAAAATGGATTTATTTCATTTAAATCATGAAAATGTTAACAAAGATCAATAGAAATACACTAAAGCAAAATGTTTATGATCCTATGAAGACGAATACTAATTAATTCCATGGGGAAAACTTTACAAAAGTTTGATGGTCTGTGGAAATGTGAAAAAAGACTGAAAATAAAGTATGTGTGTGTGAAGAAAAAAGTTCACAGAGAAAAAATGTATAATTGTCAACTAAAATTACTTAATATATCGTAAAATAGTTATGTTTATAATCAAATGAAATATACGAAATGTGTTTCGATAAGAATTTCTTTAGATAAGTTTTCTTAAAAAATATAAGAAATAAATCAACGACAACATTCAGTCTGCTTGTCGTTTTGTGTGAAGAGGAAGTTCCCTGAAAATTTTATACACAATACACATAAAAAAGTGACAAGTGCAATCGTTCGTATAGCAGCAGCACCAACGACAACAGCAGCAGCCAAAAAGCCAAACAACCAGAATTCGCTGAAAATGTCATAAAACTCATTGTTTTTATTGGCAGATAATATATTATTTTTAATAAAAACAACAACAAGGTAGGCAAAAATAAATATTATTTTGTAAATAAATTAATGGTGAAAAAGTTCCAGTGAAAGCTGTTGGTTAATTTTACATATCTTCTTCTTGTTTGGCCTTCTATGTGCCTTTTCTCACATTTTCCAAACACACAGCCACACACATACATACTTACGCGTACAAAAATCTCCACTATACGCGTATATAGTGGTGTGTGTTGTAATAGTGAGAGATGTGGTGTTGTTTTCTTTTCTGTTGATAGAAGAAAGGAGTGAGGGAGGCGTACGGAGAGGAGGTGACAGATGTGTAGAAAGGTGGAAATGTTGATGAAGAAACATAAAACAAGAAACAAATACCTACACTTGAACGAAAAAGTTTTCTGAAATTAAAAAAATGAGGTGTAAATCAAAATTGATATTATTTTAAAATCATAACGAAGTTTTAAAGGGGAGACATACTAAAGAGGAGTCCATAAGATATAAAGAAGGTGTATGTTGTCACGCCTTCTAGTGCATGAATATCTCCGGATCTTTCTCCCTAGGTCGTGAAAATATCCTGCGTCGTCTTTGCTTATCGGAGATATGTAAAAGGAGGGCCAAAACAATTTAATATAAATAAGAAAAAAGGGGAGGTTACTGGAGATGGTAGGTATGTTTTTGTGTTTTAAAGGGGTGCATTTGTGGACAATGTTAATTTAATGGTTTGATCTGTTTCCAGGACTTTGCAACCGCTTAAAGTATTCGGGCATTTTAAGGATGGTTCCCAAAGCGGACAGAAATGCAGATCATAGATATTCTTGCCTCCTCAAACTAGATCGGGTATCAGATCAACGGGTAGTGTTAAATCAAGTACCCTGCTCGTCATTACAGCACCTGGAGTTGTCATATTTTAAAGATGTTTGAGGCAGAGGTTCTGCCAACACATCAGAGATTCGGCATTCAATTTCAATGCGATATTCAAATTAAATGATAAAGAAAAGAATATGATCATTGAACGTATAGGTTTTGAGGGCTGACAGATTATACCATCCAGCGAGGTTTTAACCAAAGAATATGTATCAACTCGGATGTATCCCTGGTCTTTAGACGTCCGCATACTGTGCAGGAGTCGATACAATTCACCTCTAGACATTCAGAAATCTTGGCTATCAAAATTAGTGATCTTGACGGTCCGGTCAGCGACTATTTTCACGATAGTTTTGGAGTGTAGAAAAGCACTGGATAATATTAAGAGTTTATCAACTTTTTTTGGGTTTTTGGCCATCGTAACTTTTTTGGCAATGAAGCAGCAGATGTCGGAAATAGCATCAAATTTTAGAATAAGTTTAGATTTTTTCGAGTTGGTCACCTTTGGCACGAATTATGGCCTTTGAACGGCCAATGAAACCGTCACACGTTGCCGTCAATGTTGCTGCGGTACCCATTCCCATCGAAGCGCTTGCTTGAGATGATCGACACTTTGAAATTGTTTAGTGCCAACCTTGCTTTCCAAAATGCTCCAGGCACAATAGCCCAACGGATTGGTATTCGGAGATTTTGGTGGCCATTGTGCGCTGGAAATGAAGCGAGGAACCTCATTTTGTAACCATTCTTGGGTGGCGCGTGCTGAGTCCTGTTGGAATGTCCAAGGTCTGCGGCCAAAATGTTTGCGTACCCAAGGCTTTAATACAACCTGCAGTCTGGAGTTGGTTGCAGTATTTTCATTTCACCCTTTTTTTGACTCTAATAATGGGCCCTTTTCGAAATGTTGGGGGTTTTGCAAACAAATTGAATCCAAGAATCGATTGTTAAATCATAACTCCCGAATCCCCATCATGTGGTAACTTGTTGGCTATTCATTAGCTTTCAAACCATACCTACTTGGACTTTTAGGTCAAATATCCGGGTATGCTTGTCCGTCGCACAGGAAAAAATACTTTCCCGAAATCAGGTACAAATGCCTTTAACAGAGTTATTCCGCCACCACATAAGGGTAACACCAGTTTCAATTATTTTTGCCTTTTATTCGTATTTTCCATGTAATTTTGCCTTTTTGTGGTATTTTACTTATTAACTTAAAGAAACATTCCAATATAGGTCCACGTTTTGGTATAGCCCTTTTCCTATTTTGCAAGATCCTACTGATTTATGTTATTTCCAAGATATTTTCCATTCGAGTTGCCTTTGGGACTTTTCTACTTCAAATTAATATGTATGTATCTTCCCGGTATGCAAAAGTAAATGGTTATATTATGAGGGTCAAGGTTCTGTCTGCAAATTGACTGGTATCTTTCATTTTCTCAATTGTTGGGATTTAATTAATATCAAATGATATAAACTCCTCCACCCACAATTTTCGATGAAATTAAATAATTTGTCCCCACTTTTTATATTTAAATTTCCCATTAAACACCGCCATACAACAACGTATACCATTGACACCAACTGTAAATTGTTGCATTGTACTTTTGTGTGTTTTGTCTTATTTGCAGGTTTGCTGTGTCTTTGTCTTTTATCTGTCTCTACTTTATTGTGCCTTTTGTTACATTCGTTCGTTGTTTGCTGCAACGCGCTAGTAGTTTATTGCTTAGAGTGGTGAGAAGGGGTTGGTGACAATGTCTGCTATCTGTTACCGTCTGTTGCAATCATTATTGTTGTGCTCGTTGTTGTTTCAATTTCTTATAATTATAGTCAATGTGCGTCTGCAGGCTTTTTTTTTGGCCATATCAACCTTGGATAGCTTGTATTTATAAAGACGTACTCTACATAAAGTCGCCATTCAGCTCGTCTATGAATAGCCGATTTTAGCTCTCCTATGAAGGACCGATCTTCAATTTTTCTATGGAGGGGGTCAAAACGTGCCCAGTCAAACTAACGGTTTTAGACCTTAGGTCTCTTTGGACCAAATCCGTTTCAGAACATTTGGAGCCGTCTTAGCGATATCCGTCCGTCTGTCTGTATGGCTGGTGCGCGCGATTACTCTTGAAGTGCGTATCCGATTTTGTCCAAACTTGGTACTTCGTAATATTTTTGTCAAACTTAGTTCGAGTTCGGAGATGGGCAATATCGGTCCACTCCTTCTGGTACCTCCTCCACAAAAGTTCGAAATTTTCAAAAATATATTCTCTGCACAGAAAGAATAAGGATAATCCGATTTTGCTCCAACTTTGCAAATCCTAATATTTGCGTCAGTGCTAGGTCAGGTGCGAAAATGGACAATATCGGTCAACATTTGTAATAATTACAACTCTTATAAAATGTGATGTAAGAGTCCGATTGTCTTCCACCTTTACACATCCTAATGTTTTTATGAAACTAAGATATGGTATTAAGAAGGAATATATCGGTCCATTCCTTCTGGTACCTCCCCCACGAAAGGTCGAAACTTTAAATATCCATTAATCCCATAAAACGCGAAATTAACATTCGATTCCATTTAGACTTGGCACATCTGAATATTTTTATCAACACGGGATCTGTTCTGATACCTCCCCCACAAAGGATCAAAGTTTTGAATAACCAAAACGTTTATAAAACCCGAAATAAGCATCAGGTTCTCTTTATATTTTACACATACAAACATTATTGCTAACACAATATCTGTGAAGATGGATATATCGGTCCTCTTCTTCTGGTACCACCCCCACAAAAGGTCATCATTTTGAGTATCCATGAAAGCTCATAAAACGTGAAATTAACTTCCAATTCCATTCAGACGTGGTACATCTCAATATTTCAATCAACACAAGATCTGTTATAAAAATGGTACCATTTCTTCCGGTACCTCCCCCACAAAGGGTTCAAGAAAAACAAAACCAACTAACCTTTTAAAAATTTCACACATACAAACATTTTTGCTTAAACGAACCTCTTGCTGCGAACCTCTTCTGGTACCTCACTCACACAGGGTTACAATACTTTTATCTGTCATAAATTGCGAAATAGCTCAGCGATTCTTTAGAACTTGCTAGACCTAAATATATGCCTCTCAACCAAAAGCTGGGATGAATATGGAATTTATGATTTCCTATATATTGGATAAAAATTTTCGATTTTCTTATGATTTTGGCCATACCAGTATTTTTATCTGTATTAGATGAAGCATGAAAATGGAATACTTCGGTCGACTATATTTGGTACCTCACGCACATGTTAACATTTTCTAAAAATTATCAAATATCTCATGTAAAGTGGGGGAAGTTACCAAAATAGGGCAAACCTGGCAACATTTATATCATATTTTTTAGGTCCGATACGAATTGGACAATATTGGCCCATTCTTTCAAAACCCACTCTGTATAAGGTGAAGAGTTTGAATAATCATAACAGAAGTCTAAATATTTCTAAGTAATTTTTTGCTTGTTTCTTTAAAATTTGCCATTTAATTTAAGAATTAAATTACTTTAAAATATTTTCTAAATATTCTATATTTACAAAAAAATATAAAACATTTTCTCCACTACCACCCAAAGAATGGGCCGGACCACAACCATACATAATATTACTTTTTTTCAAATATTTGTTTAACAAGTTTTTTTGGTCATACTTTTCAATCGTGACCTGAATTCCAAAATTCTTTACCGGAAATTCTTAGAATTTTTCTTCCGAATAAAATGCAAAACTTTTCATTTGTTTATCTTCAGAAGAAGGGGGAGGTGATAAGGTGTGGGTGGTGGTTAATATCCAACATTCTGATAATCCCACAAGACAATCCACCATGGACGACATCGAATTTTGTAAAACATGACATTCCAGGCAGATTTATGTCGGTAGATCTTTTTCGTGGATTCACTATATTTGTTTTTTTTTTAATAAAATGCAAATGCATTTCACAACTAGAAGAACAACAACGACTACAACATGAAGATACAAAAAAATGGTTGTGTCAAATCGACGTGTGATGAAAGTATTGACTGTCACTCACCCATCATATTTGAACTGTCTTCAACATGGTGAACACAACTCATGAAGGTGAGTGGCAGTAAAACAGACGACGCACACATTCATAAGAGATTTTCTTGTCCTCCACAGACGCATGGTGA